GGATGCCTCTGAGCTATTGATTCCAGAATGGCCTTTTTTTCCCCCTTTGTTGATTATGAAATCTAAAACCTTTGACAGTGGCAACAGAAGACCAACCCGTGAAGAAAAAGTTTTTCTTCTGTTAAAAACCTAATTCATAGAGAAAAAGAATGGAGAAACATTCAGAAACAGGTAAGGAAATCTTCAAAGGATGCAGGGATCCTTGAGAGGCCACGAGGGCCTTTTAGGTTGTGGAGCCACACTTGTGAAAAGCCAAAAAGCTTGGACTAGATTTCCTACTGACATTTTTCTAGGAAAGACCCTGTGCTCCCTTTGACTTTAATTGCTTGCTCTTTATCAAAGTAACATATTTACTGTATATAATTCCTTATGCTATTCACTGCATTGCTCCATTTTGTGGAACCTTTACCCAACAATAAAGGAGAATATTTGTAGCTCAGGGTTGAAATGAGAGGTCCTGGGTGCTCTCTGAGCTTGGTGGTTTTCTTGCAGACGTTTCATGACCCAACTAAGTAACATCATCAGTGCTAGAAAAGAGTGGGGTTTGCAGGGAAGAGGAGGAGGATTGGGGAAGTCCTTGGTGGTCTCTTGAGCTTTTAAAAACCTTCCAGAAAATTTCAGTTAAGTCTCTGATTTCCTAGATAGCTACAATTACTGCGTGAATTAATGCACTCTGTATTTTATTTGCATCAGGGCCAATAGTTGCAATGGTGGTCTCCAGAACATATGGTTGTTTGTTGTTTTTTTAGAAGGACTGAAGAAAACACCCTTGATGGTTCTAAGCATTTTGTTGCACAGATAGAAGCAGCATCTCTCTGGATACCACACGCTCTGGAAAAACAACCAAGGTCATCCCCCCCCATCCCTTGTCCTGCATGCATTCAGCTGCCGGCTGATGAAAGATAGCTGCCTCGCTGGACCTGGGTTTGATCCAACTGAACCATTATGTTCCTAATCCGCCTTCCATAATATGCCAGGGATGAGCTGGACCGGGTATTTTAGCTCTCTTTGCTGTCTACAAAGACATGAAATTTCATATTCAGGACAACAAAGCTCACGATGCTAGCTTTTTAAAAATGCCGTTTTTCATTTTTATGGGTTCTCCCGCCAAGGGGTTCAGGCCGGCATCCCTTATCAGTCTCATGTTGACAACCGCTTTAGGATAACTGCTGCTCCCCTGTGGGTTGAAAACTTCCAGCTGGCCTCTCCACAGAAAAGATGCGCGAGAGGTTTATGGTTTCATGAAATTTCTTGGACGTTGAGCTGCTGTGACGTGGAGCCAAAAGTCATGGGCTGCAAATATACCACAGCCTACATTTGAGGGTTTAGCCCTTTGGGAACCCTGTCTGCTCATTTCTCCTAATCCTGGCCTTCTAGTGTGGTGTGACTAGGACAATCCTAGTTTATTCTGACTTACTTTTAAGTGCTTTGAATAAGGAGAAACACAGATGTCAGTTGATAACTCACATTAATCAGCAAGTCCTATGATCAGTTACAATCAATTCTGCGATTCATGATACAGCTCTAAAATTAAATCCGAGTTTTGAAGAGTACAGCTATCAGCCAAGTCCTTAGCTACAACTTAAAACGCGGCAAGTATAATTGAGTAACAAGAACATGTCACGCTTATAATTTCAGTCTCGAACATATCTACCTGGGTAGCAGGTAAAGGTAGGATACTGCAAGATATATTTTAATAACTGTTTGGGGTCCCTGTGCATTCAGAACAGCCACTGGCCTCCCAAGGAAGGGCTTGAAAAAGAATGTCAAACCTTGGGAACTTTAAGTCTTGTGGACTTCAACTCCCAGGATTCCCCATGCTGGCTGGGGAATTCTGGGAGTTGAAGTCCACAAGTCCCAAGGTTGGACACCCCTACCTTAAAATACAAAGTAAGTAGACAAAACCACCCCACAAAGGACTACCATCAACTTACATATTACAACATGCACATGCATAAAAAAATATTTTTCACCCAATAAGACGACTTTTCGCTTAATAGGGGATCCAGTTATTTTACCAGAATTTGCAAAGCACATTCTAAAAGTTCATTTGTTTATAATTTCACCTCAAATACTGCATTCAACACCTTCCCTCTCCAGTTCAAATCAATGCATAGCAGAATTACTTGGCGTCCACACTTTTAAAACTCTAGGATTAAAAACAACAACAACATACATTTCCCTAGCATTTTACACCGGAAGTTAACACATCTGCCAGTGCACCAGCAAATAGGTTGCCCAGACTGATAAATGTTAGCAGCAAGGAAATTAAAAAAAAAAAAAAAAAAGACAAGATGGGGTGACCCTCATAAAAACAGGGGAAGGGCCCTGATCATATCGTCACTGCTAACCTTTTTAATGCTTTTTCCCCCCCAACCTCCTCCTAACAGTTGTTCCTGATTTGTAAGGTCTTTCCAATGAAAATAATCAATTAAGCAGAAGTGTGGCCCTTTATGACTTGTGGACTTCAACTCCCAGCATTCCTGTGTCAGCGTGGCAAGCCACTGGTATACTTGTGGACTGTAATTCCCAGAATTCCTGAGCCATCATGGCTGGCTCAGGAATTCTGGGAATTGAAGTCCACAACTCATCAAAGGGCCATGGTTCCCCACCCCTGAATTAAATGAACCATTCACAATATGCTCCTGAAACACAAGGCATTCCAGTCCATCCTCCAATGCAAACTCAGCTTAGAAATGTCCATTATTATTTACTGGACCCACAAATTCGGCGACTGGTCCATGGGATCCAGTGCACCCCTCGAAGGATCCTTTTCAAGATCCAAAGTGCTCCAGGTAAACGCCAAGAGAAAAATACCTGTCCACTTTGGGTTCTAAAGCAAGCCAGTTCTTTCCATGAAAATTCTGCCAGTCCTCCCAACAGCATTCTGGTTTGTGTACACATTTATTTTTCATTACATTTATATGCGGCTCATCTCACATAAAACTGCGTGAGATAATAGGCGAGATAAACTTTCTCTCACGGATAAAGCGACTCTGGGCAGCCTTCCATGCAATTCGGTTTTGGATCTGATCTGGCTAACCTTTAACCTTTCAACCAAAGGCACGGAGAATCCTTTTGTCTCCCTGGGGGGCGGGGGGGGGGGGGGGGAGGAGAAGCGGAGCTGATTTTATTTTTATTTATTTATTTATTAAATTTATATGCTGCCCCATCTGTCAGAGCGGCTCTGGGAGGATTACACAATGATAACAAGGTAGAAAAAAAAAAGATAATACGGAAGATTAAATTAATTAAAATGTGGGGAAAAAACCCTTTGTCAGCCTTCAGAAATGCAGGGGGAGAAAAGCAAAGGGATGGGTCCTGAAAAGGGAGGGGGGCCCCACACCCTTCCCAGTTGCCGGGTTTTCCCCAGATGGCCTAAGGAGAAGGGGGGAAATTGGGGGAGGGGGGGAAGCTAAGAGGACCAGACACAGCCCCTCCTCTCTCATTGAAATGCAGGGAGGGGGGGTAGAGAAGGGAGTCTCAGAGGAACAAAGCAAGAAGAAAAGGTGCCCCTGAATACGGGGAGACCCTCATTAAAATGGGGGGGGAGGCAAAGCAGAGAAACAGTCATGAAACATGGGTTGCAAAAGCAGGGAAGCCTTCATAAAAAGCGGAGTACAGAAGCAGAGAAGCTCTCATGAAAACTGGGGTGTCAGAGCGGGGAGAATCCCATGAAAAGTGGGGTGCCCAAAGCAGGGAGATCCTCATGTAAAGAGGGGAGTCCCTCCTTAAAAACAAGGTGCCAAAGCGGGGAGACTGCCATGAAAAGTGGGGTGTCAAGCCAGAGAGACTCCTCCGTCAACTAAAAGCGGGGAGACCCTCACTAGAAAGCGGGGTGCAAACCCGGCGAGTCTGTTATGAGAAATGGGGAGGCCATCATATAAAAAGGGTGGGGGAGGGGCAAAGCGGGAGACTGGAGTGAAACGTGGGGAGCAAACTCAAGACCCTCATGAGAAGCGGGGAGGCCTTCATTAAAAAGGGGGTGCCAACCCGGGGGGGTCCCCGGGGGGGGGGGTTGCAAACCTGTAAAAATGGAGAGACCCTCATGAAAAAGAGGGCTGGCACAGGCAGGGAGACCCTCAGGAAAAGCGGGGTGCAAAACCAGAGAGACCCTTTTGAAAAATTGGGGAGAGCCCTCAGGAAAGCTGGGGTGCGAAGGCAGGGAGAGACTTGTCCCCCATGAAAAGTAGGGAGACCCGCAGGAGAAAGCAGGATGCCAAAGCGGGGGGACCCTCAGGAAAAGTGGGGTGCCAAACCCTTGAAGACCCCCTCCTTCAAAAGTGGAGAGACCCTCTTGAAAAAGCAAGGGTGCTACAATGGGGAGACCGCCCTGAAAAGTGGGGTGCAAAGCCAAAAAGACCCTCATGAAGAAGCAGGGAGACTCTCAGGAAAAATGGGGTGCCAAACCCTTGAAGACCCCCTCCTTCAAAACTGGGGAGACCCTCATGAAAAAGCAGGGAGAACCTCAGGAAAACTGGGGTGCAAAGGCAGGGAAAGCCCCCTCCCCTTGAAAAAGTGGAGATACCCTTATGAAAAAGCAAGGGTGCTACAATGGGGAGACCGCCCTGAAAAGTGGGGTACAAAACCAGACAGACCCTCATGAAAAAGCAGGGAGACCCTCATGAAAAGTGGGGTGCAAAGGCAGGGAGAGCTCCCCCTCCCCTTAAAAAAGTGGGGAGACCCTCAGGAAAAGCGGGGTGCCAAACCCTTAAAGACCCCTCCTTCAACAGCGGAGAGACCCTCATGAAAAAGCAGGGAGAACCTCATGAAAAAGCGGGGTGCAAAGGCAGAGACCCCCCCTCCCTCCCCTTGAAAACCGGGGTGCCAAACCCTTGGGAGTGGGGGGTGGGGGGGCAGAGAAGCCCCTTCCTCTCCTTTAGAGCCTGCTCCCTCCTTCCCCTCAGGGGGCGCTGTGGGGGGGGAGGGGCGTGTGTGGGGGGGGGGGGGGCGGGTGGGGGGGGGGGGGTTGGGGGGGGGGGGGGGGGGCGTGGCCTCACCTTGAAGTAGCCGCCCTCGTAGAGCGTGTTGGGCGGGCCGAAGATGGCCACCTCCCAGTTGTAGAGGTCGGACTCGTCGACCAGGGTGATGCGGAAGCCCTCCACCGGCTCCTCCTGCAGCCCCTTCAGCTCCAGCATCAGCGCCTTCTGGGAGCTGCTCACCTGCTGCTGCGCCATGGCGGCCCCGGAGGAGGAGGAGGAGGAGGAAGGCGAGACGGGAGCCGCTCAGGCCGGGCAGGGCCTGGCCGCGGCGGGGCAGGCCGGGCCAGGCCGCCCGGCCCGCCCGCCGCCGCCGCGATCCTCTTGCTCCGTGCGGGGGGGGCCGGGGCCGCGTCCGCCGCTTCCGCCTTCCTGCCTGGGCAGGGAGGCGCGAGGCCGGGCCGGCCGCCTGCCTGCCTGCCTCTACGCGCACGCGCACGCGTGGGGGGGGCGGCGCTCGCAACGCCTTTCCTCCCGGTGACGTCAGAGGCGACCTTGGCAACGCCTTCTCCCCGGTGACGTCAGAGGCGGCTTTATTGGGAAGGTTTTACCAGCGCTCTGATGGACGGGGCTGAACGCGCTCTCGTTCTCTCGAACTTCCCCGCCCCACTCCTAACCCCGCCCTCCACGTTATATCATTGGTTGCTTCCTTAGCTTAACTCTCATGGGTCACGCCCTAAAGGGGAGCCTTTCTCTCCTCTCTTGTCCAATGTTTAGCCTAGTCCCGCCCCCCACCGTTATACCATTGGTTGCCTTCTAAAGCTCAATTCTCATGGGTCCCGCCCTAAAGGGAAGGGAGCGTTCGGCCATTGGCCGCTGCTTGTTAAAAAGTATTCAGACTTCTTCAGGGATTGGCTGGTTGCCAGCTCTGTTGTCCAAGCTCTTCGGCGATGAGGGCTCTTAAATGGACGGAACCATTAAGACTTTGGAAGGGGGGGAGGTTGGAGTTGATTGAAATGTTGTTTTCAATGAAAGAGGACAATTCCTCAGTGTTGATTATTAGACGTTATTTCCAAAATCCTTTGCAATGATTAAGGTGGGAAATTAATTGTCATGAAAGGTGCAATAAAATGTAGGCAATGGATCATGTATATGTGTATATATATATATATATATATGTGTGTGTGTGTGTGTATAGACACATATATACATATACATTTATGTACACACGCTGTATATGTATATGTGTGTATACAATATAGAGATGGAGATAGATAGAGATAGCTGGAGATGATAGTTAGATGATAGGTAGAAGATAGATTCATAGTCCTTTTAACAATCCAAGTCTTAGCCATATAAAGTGCAATACAAGATCAATCCAGGGATATAAAATCTTCTTACCAGTTTGAAGAAAAATACAAGGAATATTCAGGAACAATATAAAAACAGTTCAATAAATATCAGGAAACAGTAATAAATAAAACATGCTCAAACAATGACCATTTAGAGAGATCAAAAATAGTTACAGCATAGTCGCAGGTAAAAATATGGTGTAGTGTCCACCATATTAAGCTCTCCTTAAATCCATTGGCTACAGAGCTCATCCGATCAGGATGCATAAGGACTCAGCAATGTTCTTAAAGCAACATAATACATTTACATGTTACAAACATACAATATTGGATTATATATTACCTGGCCAACTATTAGACAATGACCATTTCCTAACTAGATAGATAGATAGATAGATAAATAGATAGATAGATAGATAGATAGATAGATATCTCTCACTCCCTCTGCCCAGAACAGGGCTTATGGTCTGGTTTATGCAATAAGATCACATTAATGCATTGGGCCAAATCATGTACAAACCACCATTAGGCTAAGCTTTGATGTAACCGCAGATGCAAGCAGCAGTGAAATCCAGCTGGATCTATCCAGCGCGCACGAACTGGTAGCGCCGGCAGTGGAAGGCTTCCCCCACCCGCTGGGACATCATTACATCCCATTTTTGACCCTCTGCGCAGGTGCAGAAGAGGTTAGGGTTAGCGCACTCCCATTCCCAAACCGGTAGCGAAGATAATTGGATTTCACTGCTGGATACAAGCCAGTGTAAACCACCGTAAACCAAGTTGAGCAGCCTCAGTGGGTTTTACTGACCAGTAGAGTATAACCTAGTGTTAAGAACTGCAACTCCCAGAATTCTGCGCTGGCTAAGGGAATTATGGGAGTTTAAAAGTCCATATAAAGTTGCCAAGATTGAAAAACGCAGCAATAGTCCCATGGTAAGCTTTGACAGGAGCACGGACAACTGAGAACTTAGAATAATTTTATTGTCACTTCGAATGTACACTAATCGGCATACATTAAAATGAAATTTCGTTGCATGCAGCTCTCAGATGGTCACCGCCTCCAATATATACTACATAATATAACAAATTTATTCATTTATTTATTATATTTCTATACCGCCTTTCTCCCGTAGGACTCAAGGCGGTGTACAGTCAAGAAAAATATAGATACACAAACATCATAAAATTGCTAATTAAAATTATTATTATAACATAGTTTGGCCCAATTAAATAAAACCCAGAATTAGATAACATTTAAAAAATCATTCACATGTTTGTATGTTTAGCCCCGCCTGTTGGAACATCAGGGTTTCGAGGGCATGGCGGAAAGCACGGAGATCAGGGATATTTCATATCTCCGGGGGCAGTTCATTCCAAAGGGTTGGAGCCCCCACAGAGAAGGCCCTCCCCCTGGGAGTCGCCAGTCGGCATAATTTGACTGACGGTACCCTGAGTAGTCCCTCCCTGTGAGAACGAACTGGTCGGTGGGAGGCTATTGGTGGCAAAAGACGGTCTCGTAGGTACCCAGGTCCTAAGCCATGGAGCGCTTTAAAGGTGATAACTAACACCTTGAATCGCACCCGGAAGACCACCGGGAGCCAGTGCAGCTCGCGTAGGAGAGGTGTTACATGGGCGTAACGAGCTGCGCCCATAATCACCCGCGCGGCTACGTTCTGGACCAGTTGGAGCCTCCGGGTGCTTTTCAAGGGGAGCCCCATGTAGAGAGCATTACAGTAGTCCATATGGGAGGTAACTAGGTATGTAACGAGGTAACAAATAAATAAATATAGATACAGAATTATGCATATACCCACATATATTCTTTGACAAAGAGAAAAACATCTATAGTTTTGGATGTATATAAAACAAGAAATGTTCTGTTTTTTTTGTTCTTAATTTCTGATCATCTTCTAGTCGTAGTCTGGAAAAATTTATCATACTTTATCATTTTATTTTTGTTCTTGATATTTATATTCTGTTTATATCTTCATAATGACATACAGGCTTTTAAAATCAATGCAATGTACTCTTATTTACAATGATTATTAAAATGTTGAAAACTTTTTTTAATTTTTAGGTCAAATGTAAATTCCCCATTTCTTCAATTTTATCTCTATTTTTGGTCTTATTATTCTATATAATGTTTAATAATAAAGTGACAATAAAATGATAATAAATCTTTATGAGTATATGTAGGTAATATAATAAAACGTGAGCATAAGGTTGAATTTCCTGAGAATAATTTAAGGACACGAACAATACTTAACATAAGAATGTAAACTTCCTTTGGGATACTGATCTTAAATCTTACTTCAAGTAGTTACAGGCAGTCCTTGATTTATGACCACAATTGAGCCCAACATTTATGTTGGTAAGTGAGACATTTGTTAAGTGAGTTTTGCCCCATTTTATGACCTTACTTGCCTTAGTTGTTAAGTGAATCACTGTAGTTATTAAGTTAGTAATATGGTTGTTAAGGGATGTGGTGGCTCAGTGGCTAAGATGCTGAGCTTGTCGATTGAAAGGTCGGCAGTTCAGTGGGTTGAATCCCTAGTGCGCGCATAACGGGGTGAGCTTCACAAACTGGATGAATACCACCTCTGGTCATAAGTGTAAGAAAAACGGTCACAAGTCACTTTTTAGTGCCATTATAACTTAGACCATCACTAAATGAATTGTTGTAAGGCAAGGACTACCTGTACAGTGGTTTGAGACAGATTGAGTAAGAGACTCTTGGTTGACATACTGTGCTCCCCGACCATAGGAATATTCTTACTGTTGGCTCAGGATAGTAGTTTGTCTAATAAACTACAGTTAAAGAAACTATGGCTTCCTGTAAATTGTGGTTTCTCCAAAAACTACAGCTAAACAAACTATGGCTTCTTATAACTGTGGCTTATCCAATAAATGACAGTTAAACTGGCTTCTTGTAAATTGCGATTTATCCAATAAATTACAGCTAAAGAAACGATGGCTTCTTGTAAATTGTGATTTCTCCAATAAACTGCAACTAAACAAACGATGGCTTCTTATAACTGTGGCTTATCCAATAAATGACAGTTAAACAAAGTGGCTTCTTGTAAATTGCGGTTTATCCAAAAATTACAGCTAAACAAACTATGGCTTTTGCTAAATTGTGATTTCTCCAATAAACTGCAACTAAACAAACTATGGCTTCTTATAATTATGGCTTACCAATAATAAATGACAGTGAAACAAGCTATGGCTTCTTGTAATTAATGAATCCCTCAAAGAGCCACGGATGGAGACAGGAGGTTCGGGCACTTGTGGGATAGTGTAAAGAAAAAAGTCACGGGTGGGGTAGGGTTTTCCATTCTTGTGATAAAACTTTGGGTGTGAAAAGGGGCGGGGCTGCCATTGCACACACCTGGGACACCTGCCAACAACAATTCTTCTTAAAGCAAAAACAAGGGCGCCATCTGCTGGACACCAGAGAAACTGGTATTTAGTAGAAAGACCACCAAAAGGGGTAATGCGGTTTTCTGGAATGGAAATCAAGTTCTACAATTTATTAATATTCCGTACTTCTTAACAGCGCATCCCCTTCCCTACTCAATGCCCTTGCAGAGGAACTCCACGAAGCTGAAAGATTGGATTCTTTGATTCCTCAATGAGTAATTCCAGGCAGTGAATAGACATAATATTCCTTCCTCCTGTTAATTTCATTTGCCCAACAACAACCTTGTTAGGTGGGTTGGGTTTAGAAATAGGGACTGACTCAATGTCACCCAGCTATTTTCGTGCCTGAAGTGGAACTAGAATTCACTGTCTCCTGGTAATTGTCCCAAAGCCAGCCTGTCAATATTTATGCCTAAAGCGGAACTAGAACTCAGGGTCTCCTGATGATTGGTTGAAAATCAGCCAGCCAAGGCTCATGCCTGAAGTGGAACTAGAACTCAGGGTCTCCTAGTGATTGTCCCAAAGAGAGCCATCCAATATTTATGCCTAAGGCAGAACTAGAACTCACGGTCTCCTGGTGATTGGTTGAAAATCAGCCAGCCAAGGCTCATGCCTGAAGTGGAACTAGAATTCACTGTCTCCTAGTGATTGTCCCAAAGAAAGCCATCCAATATTTATGCCTAAGGAGGAACTAGAACTCACAGTCTCCTGGAAATTGGTTGAAAATCAGCCAGCCAACGCTCATGCCTGAAGTGGAACTAGAACTCACTGTCTCCTAGTGATTGTCCCAAAGACAGCCATCCAATATTTATGCCTAAGGCGGAACTAGAACTCACGGTCTCCTGGTAATTGATTGAAAATCAGCCAGCCAAGGCTCATGCCTGAAGTGGAACTAGAACTCACTGTCTCCTAGTGATTGTCCCAAAGAGAGCCATCCAATATTTATGCCTAAGGCGGAACTAGAACTCACGGTCTCCTGGTGATTGGTTGAAAATCAGCCAGCCAAGGCTCATGCCTGAAGTGGAACTAGAACTCAGGGTCTCCTAGTGATTGTCCCAAAGAGAGCCATCCAATATTTATGCCTAAGGCGGAACTAGAACTCACGGTCTCCTGGTAATTGATTGAAAATCAGCCAGCCAAGGCTCATGCCTGAAGTGGAACTAGAATTCACTGTCTCCTAGTGATTGTCCCAAAGACAGCCATCCAATATTTATGCCTAAGGAGGAACTAGAACTCACAGTCTCCTGGAAATTGGTTGAAAATCAGCCAGCCAACGCTCATGCCTGAAGTGGAACTAGAACTCACTGTCTCCTAGTGATTGTCCCAAAGACAGCCATCCAATATTTATGCCTAAGGCGGAACTAGAACTCACGGTCTCCTGGTAATTGATTGAAAATCAGCCAGCCAAGGCTCATGCCTGAAGTGGAACTAGAATTCACTGTCTCCTAGTGATTGTCCCAAAGAAAGCCATCCAATATTTATGCCTAAGGAGGAACTAGAACTCACAGTCTCCTGGAAATTGGTTGAAAATCAGCCAGCCAAGGCTCATGCCTGAAGTGGAACTAGAACTCACTGTCTCCTAGTGATTGTCCCAAAGAGAGCCATCCAATATTTATGCCTAAGGCGGAACTAGAACTCACGGTCTCCTGGTGATTGGTTGAAAATCAGCCAGCCAAGGCTCATGCCTGAAGTGGAACTAGAATTCACTGTCTCCTAGTGATTGTCCCAAAGACAGCCATCCAATATTTATGCCTAAGGCGGAACTAGAACTCACGGTCTCCTGGTGATTGGTTGAAAATCAGCCAGCCAAGGCTCATGCCTGAAGTGGAACTAGAACTGGTGAAATGTCTCCTTTGATCAGTTTCCAACCATTGTTCCTTGTCTGGCCTTTGGGTGCTTTGGAAAATAGGTGGGCCCCTCCTCTCTGTGATAACCCATCACCCATTTTAAACTCAGCAAGGTTGAAAAATACTCGCTCGATTGCATTACAAGACAGGATAATCTGTTTTGGTTGCCAGTAGCGTTTTTGCCAAATGTCCCTTTTGAGGGGGGGGAAAAAAATTAAGATTTCCGTTGCAACCTTCACATTTTTTCCTGTGGTTTTTGCATGCGCTGATGTACATCAAAACCCCGAGCCTCCTAAATGGTTGTCCCTCTTCTGAAAATACCCAGGTAGTCCTTGAGTCACGGCCCCCATTGAGCCCCAAATTTCTGTTGCTAAACGGGACATTTGTTAAGTGAGTTCTGCCCCCTTTTACGACCTTTCTTGCCATAGTTGTTAAGTGAATGATTGCAGTTCTTAAGTTAGTAACCCGGTTGTTAAGTGAAACTGGCTTCCCCATCGACTATGCTTGCCAGAAGGTCACAAAAGCGGATCGCGTGACCCCGCCCCGGGACGCTGCAACCGTCATAAATACGAGCCAGCTGCCAACCATCTGAATTTTGATCATGTTAAGGCAGGACGTAAAATGAAATTGGATATAAGAGTGAAATAATACGGGGTCAGCCTGCATGATCTCTGAAGGGCTCTTTTGACTTGAGAAAGTTGCAGAGTTCAGAAAGTTAAACCGCAGAATTAACACACATTCTACAGTTGGAAAGTTCAAGAAGTCAAACCGCAGAGGTCCTATGTTAAAATGCAGAATTAGCCCACATGGAGTTTCCTGCTTAAGAAACAAGGGAAGACTAGCTAAAGAGGCAGATCTAAGATACTTCCTGTTTTTGTTAGTATATAGGTACATATCTTAAACAGAATCCTTGTTCAGATGTTAGGATTAATATTATGCTGTCTGAACCTTTTGGCCAAAATAAAGCTTTTTCTGATTTTGAAATTCATCTCTTTATTTTTCCACGACAATGTGATGTGACCATGATGCAGTGTGAAAAACAGTCCTAAGTTATTTTTTTTCCCAGTGCCGTTGTAACTTCAAACGGTCACTATACGAGTTGTCAGTGGTAAGTCGAGGACTATCTGTAAACCAGCGAAGTGGTCCGACTGAACCCGGAAGCCCCCCCTCCACAAACAGAAGGCGAGGTTGGACCCCTCTTCGTTTTCCTACTTCTAGGCTAAACCGCGAATCACGTAAAGCCGTTCCGGCAAAACTTCCTTTGCGCTCTCAACCAAACCTCTCCAAGGGGGCGGGGCCACATGACGCTAACCTATCGGAGCCCGAGAGTGACGAACATGTTGGCCGGAAGACGGAAGAGGCCCGTGCGCCGCTGTAGGCTCCACGTGGTTTTGTCTTTTTTTTTCCCCCTTTTTTGCCGAGTTCCACCCACGTGGCTGCCCGAGCTGGTCGGCGGAAGGTGAGTTTGCGGCGGAGCGGAGCGCGGTGCGGGGGGAAAAAAAAAAGATCGGGGAGAAGCAGCACCGTAAAGGGACCCCGGGGAGCTTCTCCCGTCTCCTCCTCGGACTACAAACCCCATCATCCACGGCCGGGGGGGGTCAAGGACGATGGGAGTTGTAGTCCAGGGCTGCCCCAGTCTCTCTCCCTCGCCTCGTTTCAGGGGTTTTTTTTGGGGGGGGGTGGGGGGGGGTGGGGGGGGGGGGGGGGGGGGGGGGTGGAAGACCCAACTTGTCCAGAGCTTGATCTGTTGAACTGGAGGGCTGGACTAGAAGACCTCGAGGGTCCCTTTTATTATTCTGATTTTTTTTCTTTTTTTTCTTTTTTTTTCGATTTTAAAAACAAACTTTATTCAATCTAAAAAGATAAAAGATTGTACAAAACGTTCTTAATTCTAAAAAAAGAAGGTACAATTCTAAATTATATATATATATATACTAAAAAAAACCCTAACAAACAGGATTATCTATCTATATTTGAACATGTAAGTCCATATATACATTAACCTTAATTTCTTAATGACGGTGTAAATTTGTTATCCTTAATTTCTTACTGTATTTGACTTTAATTTTTTTCTTCTTTCAGTTGATCCATTCATACCATCCGTCCCATATTTTGTAATATTGAGAGTCTTCCTTGTTGTTTAATTTTAAAGTTAATCTATCCATTTCTGCACATGTGAATAGTTTTTTCTTTCTTTTTGGATGCATCTCAGCATCGCGGTGTAGTTAATTTTTGGGAAGGGTGGGGGGAGAAAGGAACTTTTTTTCCTCGCCCCCCCACCCCGTATTTCCTGCAAAATATATTTGATTTTATGCTGCCTTCTGTTTCTTGCAGCAGCTCAGGCAGCCAAAGCCACTTGTGAAGAAGATTTATGGGCCACCAAAGCCACTTTGTAAAGTTTGGTGGCTGCAGATGGACCAGGACTTGGCTCTCCTTTCCGTTGCCTTGTTTCAGGATGCTTTTATTTATTTCCTGCAAACCTGGGATGCCTGCCTGTTGGAATCATTGCAGTTAGTAACACGGTTTGTAAGTGAATCCGGCTTTCCCCTTGACTTTTCTTGTCAGAAAGTCAGAAAAGGGGGTCACGTGACCCCTGGACACTGCCACCGTCATAAATACGAGTCAGTGGCCGAGTGTCTGAATTTTGATCACAAGACTATTATTGGGGAGGTTGCAAGAGTCTTAAGCATGAAAACCAGTCATAATTCCTTTTTTTCACGGCCGTTTGGAAGTCTGAATGGTCACTAAACAAAAGGCTGCAAGTTAAGGACTGCCTGTGTAATTGTTGAGCAGCGTAGTTTTCAAAGATGGAATAACTATACAAATGTTATCGATAAAGGAAAGCTTAAAATCTCACGGAGGAGGGGAATAAATAATAAATACAGTTTAAAAGTTTGTGAAGGAGGAGAATTAGTTGGCTTAATTCTGTTCTTGGGCTCAAAGAGGCATTGGCTGGCTGGGGAATTCTGGGAGTTGAAGTCCACACCTCTTAAAAGTTGGTAAAGTTGAAAAAAACACTAACCCAAGGTGGAAAAAAGGATCTAGAACAGGTATGAAAAGCAGGAGGGGCTTCCTCTTTTGTGACCACGGTGTTAAAACAGACCAGGAAGCAAGACTCTTAAAGACAAAATCAGCATCTTTATTTGGGTGAATGGAATAGAATAAAATAACAAAGTTGAAGGGACCTTAGAGGTTTTCTAGTCCAACCCCCTGCCCAGGCGGAAAACCTTACACCACTTCAGACAAATGGTTACCCAACATCTTCTTTAAAATTTCCAGTGTTGGGGCATTCACAACTTCTGGTGGCAAGCAGTTCCACTTATTAATTGTTCTAACTGTCAGGAAATTCCTCCTTAGTTCTAAGTTGCTTCTCTCCTTGATTAGTTTCCACCCATTGCTTCTTGTCCTGCCCTCAGGTGCTTTGGAGAATAGCTTGACTCCCTCTTCTTTGGGGCAGCCCCTGAGATATTGGAAGATGCTATCATGTCTCCCCTGGTCCTTCTCTTCATTAGACTAGACATACCCAGTTCCTGCAACCGTTCTTCATATGTTTTAGCCTCCAGTCCCTTAATCCTCTTTGTTGCTCTTCTCTGCACTCTTTCTAGAGCCTCTTTTTTATGTCATGGCCACCAAACCTGTATGCAGCATTCCAAGTGTGGCCTTACCAAGGCATTATAAAGTGGTATTAACACTTCATATGATCTTGATTCTCTCCCTCTGTTTATGCAGCCCAGAACTGTGTTGGCTTTTTTGGCAGCTGCTGCACACGGCTGGCTCATATCTAAATGGCTGTCCACTAGGACTCCAAGATCGCTCTCACAGTTACTACTATTGAGCAAGGTACCACATATACGGTACCTGTGCATTTGGTTTTTCTTCCCTAAATGTAGAACTTTCCTTTTTTCACTGTTGAATAATCCCCTTCTTCTTCTTTTTGTTTGTTCGTCTGCAGATGTTACCTGAAAGTGACGAGGGAACCAAAGGTCCGGAGAATGAAGAGAAACAAAATGGCATCTCTAAGGAAGAGAAACCAAGGGGAAAGAAACGGGCTTCTTCCGAAGGCCTCTTGCAGCCGGTGAAATTGGGCAAAAGTGAGCTGTACAAGGTGCCCACCAACGAAGAGCTGAGCCACCTCAAGGAGACCGAGAACCTGTTTCATTCCAACCTTCTGCGCCTGCAGGTCAGTTCCGGTTGGGAAATTGGAAGGAGGAGTCAAGCTGGGACCTAGCTTGGAATCCTTGCGTAGCTGCAAACGGGATAAACTTGACGCCTCCAGAGATCACTGAAGCCTTATCTGGGCGTTTTCAGTAGAAGGAAAGCAATCTAGGGAGATTCTTGTAACACAGGTAGTCCTCGACTTACGACCACAATTGAACCCAATATTTCCGTTGCTAAGCGGGACAGTTGTGAAGTGAGGTTTGCCCCATTTTACGGCCTTTCTTGCCACAGTCATGTAGAATGCTCTACCTTTGAATTCGTAAATAGAACAAATAATTTTCCAAAGCACCAGAGGGCAGGACAAGAAACAATGGAAGGAAACTAACCAAGGAGAGAAACAACCTGGAATTGAGGAGAAATTTCCTGACATTGCAGACAATTAGCCAGTGGAACAACTTGCCACCAGAAGTTGTGGGTGTTGCCTCCATCATTGGAGGTTTTCAGGAAGAGATTGGACAGTCACTTGTCTCAAATGGGGTAGGGTCTTCTGCTTGAACAGAAGGTTGGACTAGAAGACCTCCAAGGTCCCTTCCAGCTCTATTCTGAATCTGATTCTATTCATTTAGAAGGTCATAGTGAGAAGCTTTTTAACATTCTTGCCGTATGCTCAATAAATGAATAAATCAAAGTGCCAAATTTCTGTGGCTCAGCCAGACAATTATGAAGGGAGTTTCCCTCCACTTTATGACCTTTCTCGCCAACGTTGTTAAGTGAAGCGCTGCAGTCGTTAACATTAGTCACACGGTTCTTAAGTGAATCTGGCATCCCCCTCCCTCAACTTTGCTCCTCAGAAGGTCGCAAACGGGGATCACATAACCCCAGGACACTGCAACCGTCATAAATACGAGTCAGTTGCCAAAGCCTTCAAATTTTAATCGCGCGACTTTGAGGTTGCTGCAATGGTTGTTAGCGTCGAAAACCGGGCCCAAGTCAGGTTTTTCCAGTGCCTTTGTAACTCCGAACGGTCACTAAACGGACTGCTGTAAGTCGAGTTCGGCTACCTGCCTAGGAAGAGGACAACAAAGTTGCTTACTGTAGTTAGTTATGAGTAACTCTTGTGTTGCTTGCGCTTGCTTGGCATCTTAGTGGTTTGAGCAGATTTGGCAGGGGGAACCAGAAAGGCAATTCCTATAACCGTGATGGCAAACCTATGGCACCATATGGCTATGGAGCCATATTGGTGGGCACGCGAACTGAGCTCTGGCGTGCATGTGTGTGCCCACCAGCTGATTTTCAGGTTTTCTGGGCCCACCGGAAGTCAGGAAACATAGTTTCTGGCCTCCAGGGGGGTGGGGGGGTGAGAAAGGCTCGTTTTGCGCTCTCCCCAGCCTCTAGAGCCTTTCTAGGAGCCTGGGGAGGGCGAAAACAGCCTTCCCTACCCTCCGGAGGCCCTCCAGGGGCCGGGAATGGCCCGTTTCCCGACTTCCAGTCCCACCAGAAGTCTGGTAGCCCACCGTGCCATCACATGCCAAAAGGGGGGGGGGCATGCACGCATTTGCATGGGGCAGGGCACATAGAAATATGGGGGTGGGCACGTGCGTGCACGACCCCCCCCCTCATTCCCCCGCTTTTGGCACTCGATGGCAAAATGGTTAGCCATCACTGTCCTATAACAAAAGGCAGATCCAGAATGCTTTGCATCCCCACCCTGAGGAAGACCCCTATACATCGCATTTTTCTCCTTTCTGCAGATTGAGGAGCTGTTGAAAGAGGTGACCCTCAAGGAGAAGAGGAAGCAGAGGATCAATGCCTTCCTTCACGAAATCAGCGCCATGCTTAAGAACGTCCCGGAGGTTCCGGCGAGAGACGTATGTTTTGGATCCGTGCGGTTGATAGCATCTTGAGATACGACTATGGAGGTTTCTTTGTCATCCAGGTCCTGGTTTGTCCCAGCTTTTTCCAAGAGGCAACGGGACTTTCTGGTTTTTTTCTTTTGAAGACGTTTCGCTTCTCATCCAAGAAGCTTCTTCAGCTCTGACTGAATGGTGAGGAAGGGAAGGATTTAATACTCCTTGCAGACAGCTAGTCCTTTGCATCCTTTTAGCAAGTCGTTAAGGCCACTCGGAGGTTTATCTATAGTCCTCAGGGTCACCAGAGTTGTGCAAATGGGTGTGGATCCTTCTTGGAACTGTTGAAAGGACTATATTGTAGATTGGAGATAGATAATGCCGCATCCCTCCCCCTCTGTTGAGAGAGGACTCTTCAATTTAATTTAATTAATTTAATTAATTTATTTTTTTATTTGGTTTTTATTGTGAAAATATAGAAATACAATTCTGGGTTTTTCGGTTCCGTGGTGTTAAATTATTTACATATTATTTACATAGTATTGTATCTTTGCTTGTATATGGTTTTAATTAATTTAATTTAACTAATTTATATGAATCGCCCCTCTCCGAAGACTCAGGGCGGCTCACAATACATTTTAAAAAATCATTATAAAAAACATTTAAAAATTAAAAACATTAAAAACTCATTCACGCCATTCATGGCCGGTTCTCGCCAGATCGCAACAGCGAGATCAACGGCTCCAGGCCTGCCAGAAGAGCCAGATTTTACCGCTTTTCGGAAGGCCAATAGGGTGGGGATGGTCCGGATCTCAGGAGGTAACTGGTTCCAGAGAGCTGGGGCCGCCACAGAGAAGGCCCTCCCTCGCGGGCCCGCCAGCCGGCATTGTTTAGCTGACGGGACCCAGAGGAGACCGACTCTGTGGGATCTTACCGGTCGTTGGGAGCTATGCGGTAGAAGACGGTCTCAAGGATAACCTGGCCCTGAGCCAGGTAGGGCTTTAAAGGTAATTTGGACATAAATGGCCTCTTTGGCCCTCTAAAAAGGATGCAAATGACCAGCTGTCTGCAAGGAGTATAAATCCTTCCATTCCCCACCATCCCAGTAAGAGCTGAAGAAGCTTTTTGGGGTGTCAGACTGACAGTCTGCGGGGTCAAAGAGACCATATATGTCCAAATTGAACAGCCCTCTTTCAACAGAGGGTGAAGGATACGACATACATACGTGTATCTGGAACTGTCAAGGAACATAATACTTCCATTCCCCACCATCTAGTTAGAGCTGAAGAAACTTCTTGGATGAGAAGTGAAACGTCTCCAAAGGAAAAAACCAGAAAAGTCCAATTGCCTCTTGAAAAAAATAAAGCACCTTTGGGATTCTCATCCAAGAATCTCTGAGCTCTTCAGTCAGAACTGAAGAAGCTTCTTTTTTTTTTTTTTAATTTGATTTATATGCCGCCCTTCTCCGGAGACTCAGGGCAGCTTACAAGGCGTTAAGCAATAGCCTTCATCCTTTTGTATATTTATACAAAGTCAGCTTATTGCCCCCACAATCTGGGTCCTCATTTCACCTACCTTAGAAAGGATGGAAGGCTGAGTCGACCTTGAGCCTTGGAGAGATTCGAACCAGCAGAAATTGCAGGCAGCTGTGTTAATAACAGGGTGCACTAAACCACTGTACTATCAAGGCTCTTGGATGAGAAGCGAAATGTTTTCAAGGGGGAAAAAAAACACCCCAAGCAAGTCTAGTTTCTTTTTGGACACAGCACCTTTTGGGACATCTTGAGACCTGTTTCCAAGGAAGACAATTGCTCTGTTTTTGGACGGCACGTGCTCACATTTCCACATGCTGGCCAAACAGGTTGTTACAGTATGTGATGCCCACCGCTTGGTCGAGGGTTTTGAGGGGGACCTTTGGACTGGACCTGGCAAGTAACCCCAGATTAGTGGCTTCCTGGCCCTGTGTTCGAGTTTACAACCCAACCTCCAGAGGTCAATCCTGACTCGAATGGGATAGAGAATGATGGAGATTGTGTTAAAGATGCTTGGGCACCTTCGGGAATATTTTTATGCTAATTTGGACAGGTGAGGTGTAGGATACCTCACACTAAGGACTTTCTGGTACAGTTGGGAGGGTCTCCCCCAAATTTGGGAAGAAACCTCAATCTCCTTGCAATAATGTATTGAATTTTGAACGCCTGAACAGGAATGTAGCTTCTTTTGACTTAGCATGGCCCCCTCCTATTGTGGAATCAAAGGAAGGATTGCAAAACCAGCACGAGTAGTCCTCAATTTACAACGGATCATTTAGTCATCAATCATCATCCTGTTTTAATGACCCCATAATTCCTTTAAGGGGTGGGATCTGGGCAACTGAATGGAGCTGAGTATTTAGTGGCCGAATGCCCTTCCTGTTGCCAATCCGGAGTTTTGTTCAGCAGATAAATTCTCATTGTGCCCAGAGAGAGAAATATCTGCCTCTACCTAGGATCGAACTCACAACCTCCTGACTTTGAGGCGAGAGCTCCACCTCTAGGCTACCGCACCACTCAACAACAGTTCACTTAGTGACCATTCGAAAGTTGCAATGGCACTGAAACATGTGACTTGCGACTGTTTTTTCACGCTTAATGACCGTTGCGGCCTCCCCGTGATCAAAATTCAGACAGTTGGCCACCGGCTCATATTTATGACGGTCGCAGTTCACACCGGATCCTGTGATCCTCTTTGGCGACCAACAAAGTCAATGGGGAAGCTGGATTCGTTTAACAACCGTGTTTTCCTCACTTAACAACTGCGGTGTTTCACTTAACAGCTTGAGGCAAGAAAGGGCGTCAAATAGGACAAAACCCAACAACTGTCTTGCTTAGTAATGGAAAATTTGGGTCTCCGTCGTGGTCGTAAGTCGAGGACTACCTGTATTTTTGGAGTTTCTGGGATTCTTCCGTTTGGACCACCTGGGACCGTTTCTCCCACTGAACCTTTGATCCAGGGACAAAAGGGTGGATTCCACTTTCTGTTTTTCAGATCACCGACCAGTCCTGGCTTCCCACGGGAGTGAAAGTCCCTATCCTGCAGATTCCTTTCAAGGTGAAGGGCAAGTTCCATTTTCTGCCCCCAGCAGAGGTGAAGGTGGTGGGGAGTTACCTGCTGGGCACCTGCATCAAGCCGGAGGTGAATGTGGATGTGGCAGTGATCATGCCCAAGGTGAGTGGCCCTTTTATTATTTATTTATTCATTTTGACTCCCATCTTTTATTGTTTTTTTGTAAAGAACTCGAGGGGGAAAACATAATACCAATACTCCTTGTTCCACCTATTTTCCCCCACAACCACAATCTTATGGGGTGGGGTGGGCTGAGAGAGAGGCTGACTCAAAGTCACCCAGCTGGATTTCGTGCCTAAGCCGGGACTAGAACTCACCGTTCTCCTGGTGATTGGCCCAAAGTCCCCTAGGCAGCTTTCATGCCTAAAATGGAACTAGAACTTACCATCTCCTGGTGATTGGCCCAAAGTCACCCAGCCGGTTTTCATGCCTAAGACGGAACTAGAACTTACCGTCTCCTGGTGATTGGCCCAAAGTCACCCAGCCGGTTTTCATGCCTAAAACGGAACTAGAACTCACCGTCTCCTGGTGATTGGCCCAAAGTCAGCTAGCCAAAACGGAACTAGTTTGTGCCTAAAACGGAACTAGAACTCACAGTCTCCTGGTGATTGGCCCAGAGTTCTCCAGCTGGCTTTCATGCCTAAAGCAGGTCTAGAACTCACTGTCTCCTGATTGGCCCAAAGTCCCCTAGGTGGCTTTTAATGCCTAATGGGGAACTAGAACTCACCATCTCCTGGTGATTGGCCCAAAGTCACCCAGCGGTTTTCATGCCTAAAATGGAACTAGAACTCACCATCTCCTGGTGATTGGCCCAGAGTTCTCCAGCTGGCTTTCATGCCTAAAGCAGGACTAGAACTCACTGCCCCCTGGTGATTGGCCTAAAATCACTCAACTGCCTTTGAGGCCAAGGTCGGTACTAGAACTCACGGTCTCCTGGTTTCTAGCTTGGTGCCTTCACCATCCACCAAAGGGATAGTAAGACGGATAACAACAACATTGGCAAGACGCTCAGCACATAAAGAGATCTTTCATCCTCATCGGTGTTCTGTTTTCTTGGCCAGGCTTCTGCAAAACTCCGTTAACCAATGTCTGGCTTAGCAACATAAATTTGGGGCTCAGTTGGGGTCGTAAGTCGAGGACTACCTGAAAACGGCTTTTGTCTTGTTAGGAAGTTTTCCAAGAGAAGGATAACCTCAACCAGCGCTACCACCGCAAGAGGGCCCTCTACCTGGCCCACCTGGCCCAACACCTGGCCGAGACACACCGCTTCGGGAGTGTGGCCTTTGCCTACCTGAACGGCAACCATCTGAAGCCCATTGTGCTCCTCCAGCCACAAGGTAGGAAGGGGGGAAGCGAAGGGTTGCTAAAAGTGAGGAAGTGGAGGAAGCAGGAGCCTTTCTTGGCTGACTGAGAGGAGAGGATTGCTGTCATCTTCCAGGACTTCCTTCCTTCCTTCCTCCCCTCCCCTTCCGACTCTCTTTTCCTTCTTGTCTCTTTCCCTCCTTCCTCCTTTCCGCTCTCTCTCCCTCCATCCTTGACTCCTTCCTCCCTTTTCCTTCCTCCCTCCCTTCATCGGTTCCTCCCTCCCTCCCTCCCTCTCTCTGTCCTTGACTCCTTTCCTTTTCCTTCCTTCCTCCCTCTCTTTGTCCCTTCCTTCCTTCTTTCCTTCCTCCCTCCGTCCTTGATTCCTTCCTTCCTTTTCCTCCCTCCCTCCCTTTGTCCCTTCCTTCTTTCCTCCCTCCCTCCCTGTCTTCTTCCTCCCTCTGTCCTTGACTCCTTCCTTCCTTTTCTTTCCTCCTTCCCTCTGTCCTTGACTCCTTCCTTCCTTTTCCTCCCTCCCTCCCTTTGTCCCTTTGTCCCTTCCTTCTTTCCTCCCTCCCTCCCTCTCTTCTTCCTTCCTCCCTCCCTCGTCCTTGACCCCTTTCTCCCTCTCTCCCTGTGTCCTTGACTCCTTCCTTCCTTTTCCTTCTTCCTCCCCTCTTTGTCCCTTCCTTCTTTCTTACCTCCCTCCCTCCGTCCTTGACTCCTCCCTCCCTCCCTCTCTATCAGCCTGCCAAACAGGCCCCCATCCATAGCTTCCGCTTCCCACCACTGCAACCGATTCCCATCGGGTGGGATTTTTTAAAAGGCTTATTTCAAGATAAAGCCCAAAGCCGAACAGACAGGACTCTGATTGCTTCTGTCTCTGCGTTCGGGTGTAACGACATTTTGAACGACGTCCACGTTGCTAATTTCTCCCTTTTTTTATTCTCTTCTCCCTTCTTTTCTTCCCCATCTGCCTGGGTGTGTGTGTGTGTGTTGTTGTTGCAGGGAAGGATGCAAAGACGCTGACCATCCGCCTCCATGCCTGCCCAGCCCGGGGGTCTTCCGGCCCCTCCGTTTGCACCCCAGCAAAAACAACGTCCGGACTGCTTGGTTCACGGAGAAGGACTTGCCCGGGACAGGTAAACTTCAAAGAAGTTCAGGGGCCATTTTCCAAACGTGGCTACTAAACCTAACAAGAGTTGGAAGGGACCTTGGAGGTCATGTAGTCCAACCCCTGCTCAGGCAGGAAACCCCACACCATTTCAGACAAATGGTTATCCTGTCTCTTCTTCAAAACTTTCAGCGATGGAGCACCCACAACATCTGGTGGCGAGCTTTTCACTGGTTTGTTTGTTTGTTTGTTTGTTTGTTTGTTTTTTATTTATTTATTTATTTATTTATTTTTCATATTTCTATGCCGCCCACTCTCTGAGGACTCTGGGCGGCTTACACCAAAGACAGTATACTAAATAGCATATTGCCCCCTAACAATCTGGGTCCTCATTTTACCCACCTCGGAAGGATGGAAGGCTGAGTCAACCTTGAGCCGGTGAGATTTGATCCGCTGATCTGCTGAACTAGCAGTCAGCTGAAGTAGCTGCAGTGCTGCACCCTAACCACTGCGCCACCTCGGCTCATTGTCCTCACTGTCAGGAAATTTTTTTCCTTACCTCCAAGTTGCTCCTCTCATTGATTAGCAATTGGTTTGCATGCTCTTGCTTGTTGCTCCGGCCAGACAGGAAGTTGGTCCGAAGCATCCTTTGTCGGCATCCAGGTGAGATGATCCTGACCATCCCATCCCTCTATGCTTCTTTCCAGGAGTCGCTGAGCCCCCCACCCCCCATTACAACAACTCCATTTTGTGGGACCTGGTGATGGAGACCAACCTGCTCTACCTTTCCGAGGCGGCCAGCGCCTTCCGGGGCTTCCAAGATGGAGTGGCCCTCCTCAAAGTTTGGCTCCGCCAGCGAGAGCTGCATCAGGTAAACCGGGTTGACTGGTTGAAATTGGTCAAAGCACAGAAGCTCTTTTGAGGTTTCTCTCCTGGATGAAACGTTGGCAGCTACATGCCTCTTCCTTTCAACTTGCCATTAGAGTGGGTGGGTGGGGGGGACAGGGAGGTGTTGCTTTTGAATGGGTTAGATCAGGGGTGTCAAACTCAAGGATCCAGCCTGCAGGGTGCTTAGATCTGTCCTGTGGGGTCGGCCTGGAAACAGCAAAGGAATGGCCCGTGGTGCCTCCAGCAACGAAAACTGAGCTTGGGTGGACGTGGCCCTCTGCACCCAATTTTCGTCCACAATGGCCGCCTGCAGCCCTCTGCCAGCGAAAACGATTACCCCCCCCAGCTCCGTTTTCGCTGGCAGAGTGTTCTGCCCCAGCTACGGACCCCAAAGAACGCAGCACACACAAAGTCCGTGCAAATCTTAGTTTACTAATTAAGGACTACTAATGAGCTTTCTTAGTAGTTGTTCAAACACAAGTACAGTTTAAACCAGTCTTTTCTGAACAAGGCTGTTAATTTAACTTCATTAACAGCCGACAAGAGTCCAAAGGATAATAACTCAGTTCTGAGGCACAGTCTTTCAGATAACCGTAAGCTTACTGTGGTTGGCAGAATGCCCAGAAGCAATTTGCAGGAAAACTGACACGAGAGAAACAAGAGCCGATCAGACGTTTCTGGAGTCAAGACGCGAAAGAATATGAACGAAGTTGTTCCCTGCAAATTGCTTCAGTTGGTGTTCCTCCTTAAATAGGCTAAGGGAGTGGCCAATTAGCCCCAAGCCTTACTCTCGAGGAGACCTCCTCCTGAGGAGCCACTCCTGACTTTTGGCAGCTCTGCGCGCCCATGCATCGAGAACAGGCTCCTCCTCTTCTTCCTCTTCACTTATGGGAGCTTCTGGAGGTTCTGAAGGCCCTGGCTGAATCCCCGGGATTTTCGCTCCCAGGAGGCTTCAGGGAGGCCTCCTAGGCCCAAAACGGGGTGCAGGGAGGGTGCGCCTCCCCCGGCCTCTTTTTGCTCCCGGGGGGGGTGCAGGAGGTTGAGTGCTGCCTATCACACCCCCTGGCCACGCCCACCATGGCTACACCCACCCAGGCGGTCATTTAGGCAGAGAACCGGTTGTCTTCCCCTTATCAGGGCCAGAATTATGGTTCTGGAGGGCATGGAGTTGGAGAACAATTTTGACCAATAGAAGAATATCTTTGTAGCTTGGAATTGAACTGTAAGGTCCTCAGTGCTCTCTGAGCTTGGGTGTTTTCTTGTGGACATTTCATTATCCAACTAGGTAACCTCATCAGTGCTAGGAGGAGGAGGAGGAGGAAGAGAACTGTGGGTTCCTTGATGCTCTCTGAGCTTGGTGGCTTTCTTGCAAACATTTCATGACCAAACTAGGTAACAGCATCAGTGCTAAAAGAGAGAGGAGGAAGAGGGGAGGACTGTGGGGTCCTTCCTATCTGAGCTTGGGTGTTTTCTTGCAGACGTTTCATGACCAAACTAGGTAACGTCATCACTGCTAGGAGGGAGGAGGAAGAGGAGTGAACTGTGCAGTCTTGGTGCTCTCTGAGCTTGGGTGATTTTTTTGCAGACATTTCATTACCAAACTAGGTAATGTCATCGGTGCTAGAAGGGAGTGGGGTTTTCCCTCTTGTTTACATAGAAGTGATTTGACCTGTCTCCGCTTCCCTCAAGCACTGATGATGTGTCCTAGTTGGGTAATGAAATGCCCACAAACCAGCAAGCTCAGAGAATACCAGGGACCCCACATCTCTCTACTCTTTCCACCAGGACGAAAAATTGTCGGCAGGGAAACAAGGGAAGGTGTGATCTGCGTCTCGAAAGTTGTCTTCTGTGCAAAGACTGTTCTACGATACACACCAGAATTACGTCCCAGTTTTTTGGTTTTTTTAAAATCAAGATTATGAGCCCTGTGTGTTTTGGACTGTGGAGGGAAGGGCTGTGTGTTTGTGTTAAGATCTCACTTCCGTCAACATTTCCCAGGGTCTGGGATGTTTCAACGGCTTCATGGCCTCCATGCTGGTGGGATACCTGCTGGCCACTCACAAGATCAGCAAAATGATGAGCGCGTACCAGGTGCTGCGAAACGCTCTCCACTTCTTGGGTAAGTTGCATAAAACCTCGAGCTTCAGCCAGGAGGCTGAGTTCAGATGAAGCCGCCTCCCTGACGCTACATGGGGGGCTTCTGGGGGCTTTGGGTCTGATCGGCGGCCCTTGGGCCGAACCTCAGATGGGATCTGTGTGCGAGGGAGGGAGGGATGGGGTTTTGTTTTGATTGTTTTTCCCACCTGAGGAATTCCCCCTGTGAAGGAAAAGGGAGCAGGCCATTTTTCTGAAATGCTGAAGTTCTAGGTGTAAGATGGGGCAGCAAGGAGGCACGTAAATGGAAGAATAAAGGGTCTACGTGGAATCCAGAGAAGCAAATCTTTTGGCAGATGTAATAATACAGTTCAGAGGACCATAACTTGCTCGGATCCCTTTCCCTTCCCTTCCTGCATTTTTTTCCTTCCCTCCTTCCTCTGATTTCTTTTTCTTCCTTCCTTCCTCCCTCCCTCCCTTCCTTCTCTGATCCCTTCCCTTCTTGCCTGTTTTTTTCCCCCTCCCTCCTTTCTCTGATTTCTTTTCCTCCCTCCCTCCTTTCCCTTCCTATCTGTTTTCTTTCCCTCCCTCCTCCTCTGATGTCTTTTCCTTTCTTTCCCTCCCTTCTCTGATCACTCCCCTTCTTGCCTGTTTTTCTTCCCTCCCTCCCTTCTCTGATTTCTTTTCCTTCCTTCCTCCCCCCCTCCTTTTCTTTTCTTCTGATTCCTTCCTTCCTCTCTCCCTCCCTCCCATCTTTCCTATCTCCTTCCCCTGTTTTCTTCCCTCCCTCCCTCCCTTTTCCTACCTGTTTTGCTTCCCTCCCTCCTCCTCTGGTGTCTTTTCCTTTCTTCCCTCCTTTCTCTGAGCCCTCCCCTTCTTGCCTGTTTTTCTTCCCTCCCTCCCTTCTCTGATTTCTTTTCCTTCCTTCCTCCCCTCCCTTTCTTCCCTCCTTCTGATTCCTTCCTTCCTCTCTCCCTCCCTCCCTCCCTTCCTTCCTTCCTCCCCTCCCGCCTTTCTTCCCTCCTTCTCTGATTCCTTCCTTCCTTCCTCCCTCCCTCCCTCCCTCCCTCCCATCCTTCCTATCTCTCTCCCCTGTTTTCTTCCCTCCCTCCCTCCTTTCCATCTTACCTTAGTTTAAAAAAATAAAGGTACTTTTAAGTACTTTTAAAATCTACAGTGGCCCTTCCAGTTCACAGTTGAAAATAGCTGTAGATTGTCCTACACTCCATCCAATAAGAATGTCCCAATGAAGCAGCCCCCAAACTCTCGTTCCAAATCCAGCCTTGTGATTGGATCTACTTTATGGTCCTCTCCCTCCAATTATTCCTGGGACCAGTAAGCTTGGGAGTAAAGGGATCCTTCAAGGTTTAGATTCCTCCACCAAAAAGAGTGGGCCTCTCACTGCGTGGGGCCAGATTTGTGGGACTCTAATTCCCATCATCCCTGCATGCCTGTGATGTATGGAACTTGAGGTCCAATGGCTTGTTGGGTTCAGGTAATCCTCGACTTACAACAGTTCATTTAGTGACTGTTCAGAGTTACCACAACACTGAAAAAAGCGACATGACCGTTTTCCACATTTATGACCATGGTCACATGATCAAAATCAAATTCATGGCAACTGACTCATATTTATGACGGTGGCAGTGTCCTGGAGTCACGTGACCTTCTGACGAGCAAAGTCAATGGGGAAGCCGGATTCACTTAACAACCCTGTAACAAAATTAACAATTGAAGTGATTCACTCAACAACTGTGGCACGAAAAGTCGTAAAATGGGACAAAGCTCACTTAAAGCATGTCTCGCTTAGCAACAGACATTTGTCATAAGTCAAGTACTACCTGTAACTGCCTACTATTTTTATACCATCCTTTAACTTTTGGGCTCAGTTGTGGACGTAATTCAAGAACGACTTGTATTTATTTATTTATAATTTATAATTTAATTATAAATTAAATTATAATTTATACTTATAGTGTATACTTATAAGGATATAAGATGGGGATCTCTGTCCGAAGTGATTATTTCTTTTTCCTCTTCCTTCCCAGCTACTACAGACCTGACAACATCTGGAATCAGTCTCTCAAAAGACAAAGAACCCAGTCTGGTAAGAGAGGCATTTGAATTATTTACTGATTGATAAAGATGGAGAGGGAAGATCACATTTTAAGCTTATTATGTAAACAGGTAAAATGTTGATTATGTAAAAAAAGATGTGGAGACTCTAGAAAGAGTGCAGAGGAGAGCAACGAAGATGATTAGGGGGCTGGAGGCTCAAACATGAAGAACGGTTGCAGGAACTGGGTATGTCTAGTCTGATGAAAATAAGGACTAGGGGAGACATGATGGCAGTCTTCCAATATCTCAGGGGCTGCCCCAAAGAAGAGGGAGTCAAGCTATTCTCCAAAGCACCTGAAGGCAAGATGAGAAGCAACAGGTGGAAACTAACCAAGGAGAGAAACAACTTAGAACTAAGGAGAAATTTCCTGGCAGTGAGAACATTTAATCAGTGGAACAACTTGCCTCCAGAAGTTGTGGATGCTCCATCACTGGAAGTTTTTAAGAAGAGGTTGGATAACCATTTGTCTGAAATGGTTATAGGGTTTCCTGCCTGAGCGGGGGTTGGACTAGAAGACCTCCAAGGTCCCTTCCAACTCTGTTATTCTAGTCTAGTCTAGTCTATTCCTCATTCATATTCTATTCTATTCTATTCTGTTCCGTTCCGTTCCGTTCCATATTTTCTATTCTATTCTATTCTATTCTATTCTATTCTATTCTATTCTATTCTATTCCATTCTATTCTATTCTATTCTATTCTATTCCATTCCATTCCATTCCATTCCATTCCATTCCATTCCATTCCATTGCATGAATCTCGCTATTGAATAGGGAGCAAGTTGATGTGAGTGACCTAATGGTATTGTAGTTAAAGTATGTTATGGAAGTGGAGAAAAAAATCAAGTTTTTCTGTAATCTTGGAAGCATGTTGAATGACTTGGGCTAGGAAGACAGTCCTGGCTGTTGTTGGCTAAAATTGGAAATATTATTATAGGCTTTGCCTCAAATTCAGAGATTGAATCTTAATCTGATTAAAAAAAACTGCACCAGTGAAATTCATTATTATTTTTTTTATTTTGATTTATATGCCGCCCTTCTCCGGAGACTCAGGGCGGCTTACAATGCGCTAAGCAATAGCCTTCATACTTTTGTATATTTTTATACAAAGTCAGCTTATTGCCCCCACAATTTGGGTCCTCAATTTACCTACCTTAGGATGGTAGGATGGTAGGTAGAAAGGATGGAAGGCTGAGTCAACCTTGAGCCTGGCGAGATTCGAACCTGCAGTAATTGCAGGCAGCTGGTCTTAATAACAGGGTACTTTAAACCACTGTACTACCAATGAAGATATTAAGTGGAGGGCAGTCTTTCGTCTATCTGCCTCTGTTTTAGTGTGAGATGTGAAGATGTGAGATCTCTTGAAGGATAGCTTGGTTCCTTGGAAGCTGCTACTCATGTTTTAATCAACGCTGCCTTTGCAATCTTGATTTTCTTCTTAGCCTTCCCTGACGGACTTCCACCAGGCATCCCAAGTGGTGTTTGTAGACTCTTCTGGACTGGTGAACCTGTGTGCGGATATGACTGCCAACACTTACAAGCAGGTAAAGAGGGGAGGAGTGAAGTTACTCCTGGAGTAGGTTACCAGGAGGAGGTAGCAGCTGCTGACTAGAAAGGAGAGTTTGAAAGACTCCGCGGTCTATTCAGATTCCGAGGCTAGGTGCCATTTCAAGCGGAACTAGATAGTCCACGGGTAGTCCTCGACTTAACGACCATAGTTGAGTCCCAAATTTCTGTTGCTCAACGAGACAGTCCCCCCCCTCCCAATTTTACAACCTTCCTTGCCACAATTGTTAAGTGAATAAACGCTGCAATTGTTGAGTTAGTAACACGGTTGTTTAATGAATCTGGCATCTCCATGGACTTGGCTTGTCAGAAGGTCGGTCAAAAGGGGACCCTGCAACCGTCATAGATAGGAGTCGGTGGCCAAGGGTCTGGATTTTGATCACGTGATCATAAGGAAGGCTGCAACGGTCATAAGTGTGAAAAATGGTCATAGGTCCCCTTTTCCAGTGCTGTTGTAACATCGAATGGTCACTAAATGAACGGTTGCAAGTCAAGGACTACCTGCACAATTTCATAAAGGACTATTACTTCCGCCTAGCTAATCTGGTCCAAAATGATGGCTGCAAAGACCTTTAGATGCTTTCAGAGAAGAAAAAATGCCCTTCTCTGTTTTCTTTTCCTTTCTTCCTTCCTTCCTTCCTTCCTTCCTTCCTTCCTTCCTTCCTTCCTTCCTTCCTTCCTACCTACCTACCTACCTACATCCCTCTCCTCCTCTTCTTCCTCTTCCTCCTCCTCCTCCTCCTCCTTTTACTTTGCAATCCACCCACCTCCAGCACTGATAATGTTACCTAATCGGGTAATGAAACATCTACAAGAATGTTTCCTTCTCATCTTACCTTAATTTAAAAAATAAAGAAACCCGATTCCTGTACTCACTAATATTTAGGTGGTTCTGTTCTTCCTTAGGTCCAGTTTGAAGCCAGGCAGTCGATGGAGATTCTGGATGACACAACGGTGGATGGGTTTCAGCTGCTTTTCATGACCCAGAAGCCTCTGCTCCGGACCTTCGATCACGTGTTTCAGTAGGTTGTGGCTTTCAACAGGATGGAGGGATGGGTGCCTTTCGGTTCTTATCAAGGCCAGGAGTGGGTTTAAAAATGGGTTTTGCCTCTATTCTCCCACCACTTACAGAAAACAAAACCTAAGTTTCTAGTCCACACTGTTGGAGAAAAGTTTTTGAAGGTCTTCCGGGGTTTGAAAGGCAGGGAAAGAAAGCATAGAGTAATTGAATGATAGAGAGAGAGAGATAGGTAGAAGATAGGTAGGCAGGTAGAGAGATAGCAAGATAGATATAGGTAGAGGATAGAATAGATAGATAGATAGATAGATAGCGAGATAGATATAGGTAGAGGATAGATTAGAGAGAGAGAGAGAAAGAGAGTTTGCGCAGAAGTGGAAAGAAAAAGATACCCCAAATGAAGAGGAAATACTACTAAAAATTTTCAACTGCACAGAAATGGATAGACTCACCTTGGAACTCGAGGATAAAAGCGAAACATTGTACTATAAAATCTGGGCAAAATTCTATGAATGGTTAGATAAAAGGAGGATAGCCGAGACAAATGTGTAATGTTAGACTAGAATTAGATACGTTATTATAGATAAATATGTATGTGAATTGTATAGATAGGTATATGTAGGTATAGATATGTATAATTGTATAGGAATAAGGTATAAATGATTAATATTATACTATGTTTAAATAATGTATAAGGAATATATTATTATATCATCATTGGTATATTATTGTAAAGTGTTGGAAGATGCTTGGGATCAGTGATATCATATCTATGTCCAACGTTTTTAATTTTGAATTACTAATAAAAAACTTTTTTAAAAAATAAAAAAAAATAGAGAGATAGAAAAAGAGAGAGAGAGAGAGAGATGTATAGGTAGAGGATAGATAGAAGATAAAACGGTAGATAGGCAGGTAGAGAGATAGCGAGATACAGGTAGAGGATAGATTAGATAGATAGATTGGATGGATGGATGGATGGATGAACGGTATATACTATAGGTAGGAAGTTAGAGATGGATGAATATATAGAGAAAGATGAAAGAGGTAGGTAGGTAGATTGATAGGAAGATAGAGGTAGGTAAATAGGGAGAGATGAAAGATATCTAGGTAGATAGACAGGTGAGTAGATAGGTAAATAGATGGATGGATGGATGGATAGATAGATAGATAGATAGATAGATAGATAGATAGATAGATGGAAATAAATGATAGAAAAAGAAAAAAATTGGCTACTTTTTGTGTGATAAAAACTCACACTACCTGGGGATTCTGGGAGTTGAAGTCTTAAGACTTCTAGAAGATGAAAGGTGTACAGATACAAAGGTATATCTATAGCTCCATACAAATATTTTCCTTAACACAAATGTTTAATTTCCTTGCTTGTGAGCCCTCTTGCCTCAAAGCCGCTCGCCTGTTTGCCCTCTGAGAAGCTTCCTGCGTGTCGCTCACGTGTCTCCTCCTGTCCTTCAGCCTCCGTCACGTCTCCAAACTCCAGGCGGCTTGCCAGAAGATGCAGCTGCTCAACGCGTTGATGGACCGCGGCGGGAATTACGTGGCCGCCGTTCTCCCGTTCTTCCTCAGCTTGCTGGAGCGCGGACTGGCCCGGCGGTTGGTGCTCCTGGCTCATCGGTTGCCTCAGACTCCACCGGTAACTTCACCCAAAACTTATTTTCTTTACTTGCTGAAAGAATCCAGTGTTCAGAATTGACCAACTTAAATAAATAAATAAATAAATAAATAAATAAATAAATAAATAAATAAATAAATAAATAAATTTCTATACCGCCCTTCTGAAGGACTCAGGGCGGTGTACAGCCTAATAAAAGCACAAGACAAACATCAATTAAAATAGTTTAAAATTATTAAATAAATTCGGCGCAATTTAAAACCCCAGAAATTTAAAATACCCCAATTTAAAATTATTATGTTGATAGCCCGGCCTGGCAGAACAACAGGGTCTTCAATGCGCAGCGAAACACCCGGAGGTCGGGGATCTTACGTATTTCCGGGGGCAGTTCATTCCACAGGGCTGGGGCTCCCACAGAGAAGGCCCTCCCCCTGGGTGTCGCCAGCCGACATAACTTGGCGGATGGCACCCTGGGGAGACCCTCTCTGTGGGAGCGGACTGGCCGGTGGGAGGCTATTGGTGGCAGAAGTCGGTCTCGAAGGTACCCGGATCCTGTGCCATGGAGCGCTTTAAAGGTGGTGACCAACACCTTGAATCGCACCCGGAAGACCACCGGGAGCCAGTGCAGCTCGCGCAGGAGGGGGGTCACGTGGGCACAACGAGTTGCGCCCATAACCACCCGCGCGGCCGCATTCTGGACCAGTTGGAGCCTCCGAGTGCTCTTCAAGGGGAGCCCCATGTAGAGAGCATTACAATAGTCCAGCCGGGAGGTGACAAGGGCGTGAGTGACCGTGCGCAAGGCGTCCCGGTCCAGAAAGGGCTGCAACTGGCGAATCAGGTGAACCTGATAAAAGGCCCCCCTGGCCACGGCCGTCATATGCTCTTCTAAAGACAGCCGTGCGTCCAGGAGGACACCCAGATTGCGAGCCCTCTCTGTGGGGGGCAAAGATTCACCCCCAATAGTCAGCGATGGCACCTGCTGACTATATCGGGACGCTGGAAGCCACAGCCACTCGGTCTTGGAAGGGTTGAGTCTGAGCCTGTTCCTTAAGGAACTGTGTGGTCCTTTCAATTCTGTGTTTTCCCCAAAATAAGACCTACCCCGAAAATAAACCTTACCCTCTTTTTAAGTGTGCGCCTAATATAAGCCCTACCCCAAAATAAGCCCTAGGAAAGGGGGGTGGGCACAGGAGGCGGCAAGCGTGCGGGGGACAATGGCGTCAGGCAGCAGCCCACACAGCACAGGTGAATTGATTACCTGTCCAAGCAGCAGGCGGAGTTAGTGGGGAGGCACGCGATCTGGATGTGTCGTGCAGGCCGCAGAAAAACCAAGAGTGGTTGAACTGGAGCTGTGGACGGCTGCGGAAGGCTTGTCTTTGTGTGGTGGCACTGGCAGCAGATGGAGGCAGAGGCGGGGGAGGGGAAGGCAGGAGATCCGGACACGCCGCGGGAAAGCCAAGTGTTGGTGGGCTGGAGCAGGAGGCTCATCTTTATGTCTCTCGGCTTTCCCGCGGCCCGGGAGGTGCATCTGGATCGCCTGCCTCCTGCCACCCTCCCCCCTGTGTCTCTGCCTCCTTCTGCTGCTTGGACAGGTAATCAACTCACCTGCACTGTGCAGGTTGCGCAGCCCCAGAGTGCGCTGACCAAGGGGGCCAGCAGGCTGCAGTTGCTCCTGGATACTGTTGGTTCCTGCGTGCTTGCTGGCTGTTGTGTGCACGCTGGGGGTGTGTGGCGTCCAGCCGGGCTGATCACCCTGAAATCGCGTTTCCCCCAAAATAAGCCCTTGTGCTTGGGGGCCCAAAAATCTAAGACCAGGTCAGTGGTGAAATCCTCCACAGTTTGCCACCAGTTTGCTTCCCACACATGCATGTTGTGCGCCAAACGCATTCTGCTTTCCTGCTTTCTAGCGAATATAAATCGCGCGGCACAGTTGATTGTCAGAAATGCTAGTTCGGACCAACCAGTAGCTTTTTTTTTTTTTTACTGCCGGTTCGTCAAACTGGTAGCTTTTATCACTACCGGTTCGCATGTTGTGGCCCCGCCCTCTGAGCCTATCTCATTGGAGGAAGAAAGCTCCGAACATGAGGAAGAGGAGTCAGCCAGGCCTCCCTCTCCAGGCCCCTCCCCTCTGGCACTGTCTCAGGTGCCGGCCGAGGGAGAGGAGATTAGCCAGGAGCCAGGTGTCTCGGATGAGGGCGAGGAAGGAGAGCCGTCGTTCCTGGATACACGCCAACGAAGGCATGATAAATGGTTGCAGCAGCCAAGGAGGCGTGCTAGGGATTAGAACTGAGTCACTGGACCACACCCCAGAGACTATATAAGAGAGGGTGGTGGCTGGTAAAACTCCGTGACGAACAAAAATGAACTTTGGCTAGTCACTTGAACAATGTCTGAAGCTGCCGAAAGGGATATTGTTTTGCTGGACTATTTGCAATGCGTATGTAATTTTATGTTATCTGTTGCAGTAAAAGCTCTTGGCAGACGGTGATTATATTGCTGCCAAGTTTGAGATAACGAGCTGTGTGCGTGCCAAGTACTTTCTTAACCCTCGGCTGGCTGTGTTTGTGTGTGTGTGTGGACGGGGACAGATCATCGCATGAACCGGTGCGAACCGGTAGAATTTCACCACTGGACCAGGTCTTATTTTTGGGGAAACACGGATACTCAATTTGTGGCTGTTCAGATATTGGCCATCTATCAGGGCCAAAGTATCACACGGTCAGAGATGCAGGTGGTCCTTGACTTACGACGATTCATTTACTGACTCATTCATATTTACAAATTTATGAGTAGTTTTCAGATTTACAGCTGTGACAGCTTTCCTCATGGCCACCTGATCAGAATTCAGACGCTTGGCAAGTGGTTCATACAGGTAGACCTCGACTTACCACAGTTCGTTTAGTGACCGTTCAAAGTTATAACAGCACTGGAAAAAGTGACTTACAACCGTTTTTCACCCTTACGACCATTGCAGCATCCCCACAGTCGCATGATTGACACTTGGATGCTCGACAACATGACGGAGGTTGTGTCCCTGGGGGTCACGTGATCCCCTTTTGCGACCTTCTGGCAGGGAAGCCGGATTCACTTAACAACCGTGTTGCTCATTTTACTGCTGTAGCAATTCACTTAGTGACGGTGGCAAAAAAAATGGTAAAATGGGGCAAACAAACAGAAACTGAACAAATTTCTCATTTAACAACATAAATTCTGGGTTTGATTGTGGTCGTAAGTCGAGGACTACCTGTATTTATGACGGCCGCAGTGTCCTGGGTTCAGGTGGTCTCCTTTTGTGACTTTCTGACAAGCAAAAGTCAATGGGGAAGCCAGATTTCACTTAACCCCAAAACTCCTGCCTTCTAAGGGTTCAGAGTATTATACTTTCTGGGTTATCTAAAATTGCAGTCAGTTGCCATATCTAGAGTCTGAAGATGACAGCGCAGTCCTCAAAATGACTTAAAATAGAATAGAACAGAATAACAAGAGTTGGAAGGCACCTTGGAGGTCATCTAGTCCAATCCCCTGCTCAGGCAGGAAACCGTATCCCATTTCAGACCAATGGTTGTCCAGTCTCTTCTTAAAACCTTCCAGTGCTGGTGCAGCCACAACTTCTGGTGGCAAGCTGTTCCACTGGTTAATTTTTCTCACTGTTTGGAAGTTTCTCCTTAATTCCAGGTTGCTTCTCTCCTTGATTAGTTTCCATCCTTTGCTTCTTGTTTTGCCCTCTGGTGCTTTGGAAAAGATTTTTGTGTTGTTTTATTAATTTATTTTTTTTAATTTAAAAAAAACAAACTTTATTAAGCTTAAAAAGATAAAAATATACAAATTATTCTCAATCATAAAATTACATATACAATACAAATCACCACAAACAGACTAAATATATGTAATTATATATACACACATATATAGACAGTGACTTATTACCTATTCTATCTAAATGACGGTGCCTATTTATTACTTTTAATTTTTTACTAAATTTTATCTTTACCCTCTTTTCTTTTGATTTATCCACTTATACCATCTATTCCATACTTTAAAATATTTTGAGTCTTCCTTGTCTTTCAGTTCTAAAGTTAATTTGTCCATTTCTGCATATGTATAATTTTTTTGAATTACCTCCTGATCCGTTGGCAAACGATCTGTTTTCCACAATTGTGCTAATGCCAGTCTAGCCGCCGTGATTATAGGTAGTGTTAAATATTTTATGTCTTTTCTAATGTTCCCTTTAATCATGCCTAATAAAAAGATTTCTGGTTCCAATTCAATTTCTTGCTCTATTATTTCTACTATCCATATTTTTATTTTCCTCCAATATTTCTTGATTTCCGGACAAAGCCACCAGATTTTTGTGTTGTGCTAACAGGACATTTGTCCAACTCAAAAGAGTGAGGTCCCAGTGGGACCGTTTAATTCCAGAAGCTGTGGGTGCTCCATCACTGGAGGTTTTCAAAAAGAAACTACACAGCCAATGTCCAGAATGGTATAGGGCAGAAGTGCCCAACCTTGGCAATTTTAACAGCTGTAGATTCAGCTCCCAGAATTCTCCAGCCTTCAGGAATTCTGGGAGTTGAAGTTCACAAGTCATAAAGAGGCCATAGTTACCCACCCCTGACGGGGACACTTCAAACTGCCATTAATGCAGGCTGGTTGCCAAGTGACCAAGATATGATCTTATTGATTGCTGAGAAAGAAACGCCTCTCAGAACTCCAAATCTGGGTCATAAGAGAGTTGGAAGGGACCTTGGAGGTCTTCTAGTCCAACCCCCTGCTTTAGGCAGGAAACCCTATATACCATTTCAGAGAAATGGTTGTCCAATCTCTTCTTAAAAACTTCCAGTGTTGGAGGATTTACAACTTCTGGAGGCAAGTTGTTCCACTGATGAATTTTTCTCACTGTTAGGAAGTTTTTCCTTAATTCCAGGTTGCTTCTCTCCTTGATTAGTTTCCATCCATTGCTTCTTTTTCTGCCTTTTGGTGCTTTGGAGAACAGCTTGACTCCCTCTTCTTTGTGGCAGCCCCTGAGATATTGGACAACTGCTATCATGTCACCCCTGGTCCTTCTTTTCATTAAACTAGACATACCCAGTTCCTGCAATCGTTGTTTGTATGTTTTACCCTCCAGTCTAAAGATGGCAGGTGGTGGCTGGTTTTTCCTAACTGCCTTCGCTAATTTTTCTCCTGCTGTCTTTTCTTCCAGTGGCCGATTCACGTCGACCCCCCGAAGCACAAAGACGTCGGTTCCTTATCCTTCGGACTGTTGCTAAATCTTGACTTTGCAAACAGTGTTTTGGAGCGAGGACCAGAAGCAGATCAAGATGAGGTGAGGACCAGGCTAGGCTGCTGATTTACCGTTTCTGGATGGAAAACTTCAGCCAGTGCAAGATTTGACCACAAGAACTTTGGTTCTCATAGCCCACCAGGTTAGAGGACGCTTCGTGAAGAATGTGCCTGGCACACTGGACAGGCATGTCCATCTAATTCAGAACATGTTGCGGAATCAAATGCAGGACCCAGAGCAAATAATCCCGGCTTACTGAAGTCTTTATTGGACAGCATGTATAAAACAGAACAGAACAGAACAGAATAGAATATAGGAACAGAATAAATAGGAATAGAATAGAATTATAGAAGAGATTATAGAATAGAATATGGGAATAGAATAGAAAAATAATAGAATAGAATATAGTAATAGAATAGAATAGAATATAGTAATAGAATAATAATAGAATAGAGTAGAACAGTGATGTCTAACCTTTTTTCCTCAGGTGCCAAAAGAGCATGCGATAGTGCTTCCATGCGTGCTTACACCCATTATACAATGCCCCACACACACGCCCCCCCCCGCCATCACAGGAATAGAATAGAATAGAATAGAATAGAATAGAATAGAATAGAATAGAATAGAATAGAATAGAATAGAATAATGGAAGGGAAGGGAACAGAACAGAACAGAACAGAAAATAGAGTAGGGTAGAGTAGAGTAGAAGAGAGGAGAGGAGAAAAGAGAAGAATGCAATGCAATGCAATACAATACAATACAATAACTTTATTTTTACTTTCTACATTAATTGGCATACATTAAAATGAAATTTTGTTGCATACAGCTCTCAAAGGTGATGGGACTCTTCCAAAGAATATTGGAATCCGTTCCTCTTTTTAGGGGCCAGTTTGGTGCAGGGGTTCAGGTGCTGGTCTAGAAACCAGGAGATTATGAGTTGTAGTCCTGCCTTAAGCAATCAGCAGGAGAAAGTGAGTTCTAGTTTTGCCTTGGGCGTGAAAGTCACTTGGATGACTTTGGGCCAACTCACCAGGAGACAGTGTGTTTTAGATCCACCCTAGGCATAAAAGCTAGCTGAGTGACTTTGGGCCAATCACCAACAGATGGTGAGTTCTAGTCTTGTCTTAGTCATGAAAGCTAGCTGGGTGACTTTGGACTAGTCAGTCTCTTTCAGCCCAGGCCACCTCACAGGGTTGTTGTTCTGAGGTAAATAGCAAAAGAAAGGAATATTATGCATCGATACTACCTTGAATTATTTATAATAAGAAAGGCAGGATAAAAAAACAAAACAAAATACCACTTTATAATGCCTTTCTAAGACCACACTTGGAATATTGCATCCAGTTTTGGTCGCCATGATGTAAAAAAGATGTGGAGACTCTGGAAAGAGTGCAGAGAAGAGCAACAAAGAGGATTAGAGGACTGGAGGCTAAAACATAGGAAGAACGGTTGCTGGAACTGGGAATGTATGGTCTATCATGTCTCCACATGAAAGCAGTCTTCCAATATTTGAGGGGCTGCCACAAAGAAGAGGGAGTCAAGCTATTCTCCAAAGCACCTGAGGGCAGGACAAGAAGCAACAGGTGGAAACTCATCAAGGAGAGAAACAACCTGGAACTAAGGAGAAATTTCGTTACAGAGAGAACAATCAGTGGAACAACTTGCCACCAGAAGTTGTGGGTGATTCATCATTGGAGGTTTTTAAGAAGAGATTGGACAACCATTTGTCTGAAGTGGTGTAGGGTTTCCTGCCTAAGCAGGGGGTTGGACTAGAAGACCTCCAAGGTCCCTTCCAACTCTGTTATTCTGCTACAGTCCCTATGGAATCTCCAATTGTTAAATTACTTGAATTGCCTTATAGTTGTTGAAGGATAATGTGCCGAAAAGGGGTGGAAAATACCTCTCTTACGTCTGTTCCTGTAGGCCATGGAGTTTCGGCAATTTTGGGGAGAGCGGTCGGAGCTGAGGCGTTTCCAAGATGGCGCCATCTGCGAGGCCGTTTTGTGGGATGCTGCAAATCTGTGCCAGAAACGTCTTGTTCCAGAGCAAATAATACGTCATATTTTGAAACTGTGAGTAGAGTTAAGATAATCCTTCCGTATAAGAGAACATGAAGATGAAATGGGGGGCTTATCTTGTCAGGAGCATCTTGATTTTCATTTTTAATTCTCTCTGATCTTGGCTTGTTTTCTTGCAGATGTTTCATTATTCTAACTAGGTAACATCACTAGCACTGATGATGTTACTTAATTAGGTAATGAAACGTCTGCAAGAAAAAAAGGCAAGCTCAGAGAGCACCAAGGACTCCTCCTGAGCTACGTATATTTTCCTTTATTTGGAAATCTGACCAGAACCCTAACTGGATAATTTATTTATTATATTATTTATTTATTGGATTTGTATGCCGCCCTTCTCCCGAAGGATAACGTAGGAGTGAGCAAAATCCCACAAGCAAACCCTTTTTACAGAAACAGAGGCTTGAGGTGGAATGCAGGCTGTATGCCACCTTTTTTAAAAATAGAGAATATTTGTAGCTCAGGGTTGAAAAGTGATATTTTTGGTGCTCTCTGAGCTTGGTGGTTTTCTCGCAGACGTTTCATGACCCAACTAGGTAACATCATCAGTGCTAGAAGGGAGGGGGGAGGTTTGCTTGCCATTTATATGTGATTTTAAATCACATTATAGTGGTTTTTTGAGCCGCCCTGGGTCTCCGGAGAGGGGCGGCATATAAATTGAATAAATAAATAATTAAAATAAAATAAAATAAATATACTAATAGCTTACCCCGTCAGTGTTGGTGGGAGTGTTTCTTTGTGGTGCCTTGACTAGACTATTGTGTACTGCTTGATTTTTGTCTAATATTTATCTAGAGCGATACCAATAGAAGAAAATATTTGTAGCTCAAGAGTTGAATTGTGAGAGAGCTCTCTGAGCTTGGTTGTTTCTTGCAAATGTTTCACGATCCAGCTAGGTAACATCATCAGTGCTAGAAGGGAGGGGTGTGTGTGGGGAGGAGGAGGACTCTAAAGTCCTTGGTGTTCTCTGAGCTTGGTGGTTTCCTTGTAGACGTTTCATGACCCAACTAGACAACGTCATCAGTACACAACCAAGCTCAAGAGGGACCAAACATCCTACCGACCACTTTTATCTCCTTGAAATCCCAGCAGAGTTTCACTCTATTCACCCATTGTACTAAACCATGGCTCGTTTTCACCACTGTTTACTGGAAAAGCAACAATGATCATTGTGCACAGCTGTAAACCGTGGTTTACAAACCATCTTGGCTGGTTTTAGACGTTGCCCCAAACTGGCCTTAAGCCAACGATACCTTTGTTTAGGGGGGAGATGCCTGAATGCAACCCTAATTCTTGGCAGCTTCAGAAGTTGTTTAGGAGGCAGGAAGAACGCAAACGGACTTTGAAGAAGAAGAGATATTTGTAATGCTGCTTTGTCTCCTTTGTTTTCTCTTCTTTCCAGGCACCTGGACATTCCGGAGACTTCTATTTCGTACACGGGGGCCCTGCTGGAACCCCTAATTAAACTGGGGCGTGAGGTGAGGTCCCTTTCCACCTTCTTCCTTGTCTTCTTCTTTGCCATCCCTGCACGTCTCTTGAGATATTTGCCCAAGTTTAGTTTAGTTTTAGTTTAGTTTTATTAAATTTGTATACCGCCCTACTCCCGAAGGACTCAGGGCGGTGAACAGGCACAGGATAAAATGCAGAAATACAAAAGTTAAAAACAATTTAAAACCAAATTAAATAATTTAGCCCACGACAATTAAAATCCCAGTAAATTTAAAACACATTAAAATTTCAGTTTAAAATTTAAAAGAAGGGGGAGAAAAATTAGGCCAGGCCGGCTTGCTGGAATAAGAGGGTCTTAAGAGCACGGTGGAAAGTGCGCAGATCTGGGATCCTCCGTATCTCCAGGGGAAGCTCGTTCCAGAGAGTAGGTGCCCCCACAGAGAAGGCTCTCCCCCTGGGGGCCGCCAGTCGACACTGCTTGGCTGACGGCACCCGGAGGAGCCCCTCTCTATGAGAGCGTACTGGCTGGTGGGAGGCTATTTGTGGTAGCAGGCGGTCCTGTAAATAACCAGGTCCTAAGCAATGGAGCGCTTTAAAAGTGGTAACCAAAACCTTGAAGCGCACCCGGAAGACCACCGGGAGCCAGTGCAGCTCACACAGGAGGGGTGTTACATGGGAACGCCATGTCGCTCCCATTACCACCCGCGCGGCCGCACTCTGTGCCAGTTGGAGCCTCCGGATGCTCCTCAAGGGGAGCCCCATGTAGAGAGCATTACAATAGTCCAGGCGGGAGGTGACGAGGGCATGAGTGACTGTGTGTAGGGAGTCCCGATCCAGAAAGGAACGCAGAAAGGGACGCAACTCCCTTTCAAGGAGATTCTCTTGTCCTTTCCACCCAGGGATGCTCTGGGAAGAAAAATAACCCCACAAAATAAAACTCTCTAAACCAAGAAGGAAATGCTAATCTCCCTTGCACACTCCCAACCCCATGCAGTGTGCATTTCAAGAGCCCCTCCAAAAACTCTCTTTGAAAGAGCCTTTCTTCATTTTTAGGGGGGCTCCCAGGTGCCCTTTAGACAAAGCGGTCCCAGAATGACAGAATTTTAGTGCTGGAGCTACTCTGGGGTCCCTGGTGCTCTCTGAGCTTGGTTGGATTTCCTGCAGACGTTTCATGACCCAACTAAGTAACATCATCAGTGCTAGAAGGGAGTGGGGTTTGTGGAGAGGAGGAGGAGGAGGAGGAGGAGGAGGAGGAGGAGGAGGAGGAGGAGGAGGAGGAGAAAAGGAAGAAGAAAGAAGAAAGAAGAAAAGGACTGTGAGGTTTCTGGTGCTTTCTGAGCTTGGTGGTTTTCTTGCCGACATTTCATTACCTAACTAGATAACATGATCAGTGCTAAAGAGAGGGGCTTTGCTCTGTTTATAGACAAGTGGTTTAGATAGAATATTTGTAGATCAGGGTTCAGCTATGTGGTCCTTGGTGCTCTCTGAGCTTCGCAGTTTTCTTGCAGACGTTTCATTACCTAACTTGGTGACATCATCAGTCCTGGAAGGGAGGTGGAGTGCTCTGTTTAAATACAAGTGGCTTGCTCTATGTTAGTGGGAGTATTGTTTTCTTTCTGTTGTTTACAAGGACAAGCTACTTGTAGATAAACAGTGTGAAAAAAAAACCCCTCCTTTCAGGCACTGAAGATGTTATCTTTTTGAGTCATGAAATGTTTGCAAGAAAACAACCAAGCTCAGAGAGCATCAAGGACCTAACAGTCTTCCTCCTCCTCCTCCTCCTCTCCTTAAACCCAGGGGTGAAATGCTCCCGGTTAGGACCGGATCGCCCGATCCGGTAGCGATGGTGGCGGGTGGTTCAGAGAACTGGTAGCAAAAATCCCTGTGGGCCCCCTCCCATACTCAGCTGAGTCGCACGATCATCAGAGGCTTTTTTTTTTTTTACTTTTAAAAACATTTTTTCTACAACCTCTTCTGACAAAAAAATGCTTTTAAAAGTAAAAAAAAAAACAACCTCTGATGATCGCGCGGCTCAGCTGGGATCCTCAGAGGCTTTTCAAAGCATTTTTTTTCTACAACCTCTTGGCCGAAGAGGTGGTAAAAAAAATGCTTTGAAAAGTCTCTGATGATGCCAGCTGAGTTGCCTGATCGGCAGAGAGGCTTTTCAAAGCATTAGAAAAAATGCTTTGAAAAGTTTAAAAAAAGAAAAAAAGTTGGCCACGCCCACCCAGTCACATTATCCCCCCCACCAAGCCACGCCCACAGAACCAGTAGTAACAAATTTTACATTTCACCCCTGCTTAAACCCCACTCCCTTCTTGCACTGATGTTGTAACCTGGTTGGGTAGTGAAACGTCTACAAGGGAACAACCAAGCAACACTTTTTCTGTTTCCTATTTATTAAATTTATATTAAGCTGCATCCTTGTGGTTTAGTACTTAAAAGGGGCGTATCAATTTCTCAGCCCCAACCCCACCCACTCCATCAAAAGCCCTTTTTCCTTTGCTATTCCTTTTCCTCCTGATTTTGGAAAAAGGTGGATTGACTTTGTGCTGTTATTCCTTCTTGGCCCCCTGGTTTCTCTGGGGTGTCCGCAGCCTGCAGGGACTGGCGAGGAAGACATGGTCAGCTTGATCCGTTCCTACGACGACCTGAGCCGCAAGCTCTGGCACCTGGAGGGGATGCCCTTAACGGTGACAGCGGTACAAGGAGCTCACCCTGCCCTTTGCTACACAGATGTGAGTTGAGCGCGATGAACGGAAGGTGCCGGGAGAAGGGGTGGCAACCCAGGAACGAAACTTTTGGGGGCACGGGTAGTCCTTGACTTACGACTCCAATTGAACCCCAAATTTCTGTTCCTAACAGAGACTGTAGTTAAGTGAGTTTTGTCCCATTTTATGACCTTTCTTGCCGCTGTTGTTAAGTGAATCGCGTAACCCGGTTGTTAAGTGAACCTTGGCTTGTCAAAAGGTTGCAAAAAGGGATCACATGATTCAGGGACCCTGCGACCCTCATGAATATGAGCCAGTAGCATCTGAATTTTGATTACGTGTCCCTGGGGATACTGCAACGGTCGTTAAGTGTGAAAAACGGCCATAATTCATTTTCAGGGCCATTGTAACTTTGAATGGTCATTAAATGAGCTGTTGTAAATTGAGGATTACCTGTATTCTGGGGAGTGGGTGGTGGTGGTGGAAGGAAGGGGTTTCAGGAAACTTTGCATCAGGCTGAAGTTATCAAACAACTACATCAGTGTTTCTCAACCTTGGAAGCTTGAAGATGGGTGGACTTCAACTCCCAGAATCCCCCAGCCAGCAGCGCTGGCTGGGGGATTCTGGGAGTTGAAATCCACCCATCTTCAAGCTTCCAAAGTTGAGAAATACTGAGCTACATTCTGCCCAGGCTGAAGTTCTCAGGTAGGCTGTCCTACCTAGATTATTTGGGATGTCACTGTTTCTGGGGCGACCAAAAATGGGGGCAGTGCTTTCTTGTAGGGGTACCAACCCCAAAACTCTTGGTTGATTGAAAATCTGAGAATTTGCAGGGAAGAGCAACCAGGATGATCAGGGGCCTGGAGGCTACATCGTATGATGAACTGCCATCGGAGCTCGGTATATGTAGCCTAACAAAGAGAAGGCTTAAGAGAGACATGAGAGCAGTCTTCCAATATTTGAGGGGCTGCCCCAAAGAAGAGGGAGTCAAGCTATTCTCCAAAGCCCCTGAAGGCAGGACAAGAAGCAATGCGTGGAAACTCTTTGGAGGAGATCCAAGCTAGAAAAAAGGAGGAACCAACTAATACAACGACTCCCAGGGTTGTAGATGTTCCATCACTGTAAGTTTTCAAGAAAAGATTGGACAACCCTTTGGTAGGGATGGTATAAGGATTTATGCCTTGAGCAGAGAGTTGGAGCAGAAGACCTCCAGAGTCCATGTTAAGGATATTGTTGTTGTGTTACCAACCAGCAGAGTGTAGAGCACAGAGAAACGTTGCTGAGAGCAATGAATAAGAGATGTGCAAACTGGTTTATCAAAAGTTTACTTTATAGTGAAAAAAACAATCTCATCGTCTTTAAACAAATCCAAGTCTTTGCCAGTTAAATCAGTCCAGTGATACAAAATCTTCTTACCACACAAACAGTAGTTGGTTAGTATAGCAAACTCACTCTGGTTCACAAACCACGATGGTAGCAGATCCATCCAACCGATGATAGCACAATGGATAGCACTCTTCACACAATGGTAGCTTATCATCAACTGAATACGTTACAGTATTTTTCTTAAAATATGTTCACAACTAATTGCAGCATGACTCAGCATTACAATGAATCAGCGGGAAAACTTTAAAGTCACACAATACAGATTCATATTAAAGTCACAGAACACATATATTGCCTGGACAACTTGTTAGGCTCAAACCATATCCTAACAGTCCCTTCCAGCCTTATGATTCTAGGAGTCACAATGTTCTAGAGAACCTACCTTAAATGTGTTCTAGGCTGCATTAACAGAGGGATTGAATCAAAATCACGTGAAGTGTTAATACCACTTTAGAAGGTCTTGGTAAGGCCACACTTGGAATATGGCATTCAGTTTTGGTCACCATGATGTAAAAAAGATGTTGAGACTCTAGAAAGAGTGCAGAGAAGAGCAACAAAGAGGATTAGGAGGCTGGAGGCTAAAACATGAAGAACGGTTGCAGGAATTGAGTATGTCTAGTTTGATAAAGAGAAGGACTAGGGGAGACACGATAGCAGTCTTCCAATATCTCAGGGGCTGCCACAAAGAAGATGGAAACTGATCAAGGAGAGAAGTAACCTAGAACTAAGGAGAAATTTCCTGACAAGGAGAACAATTAATCAGTGGAACAGCTTGCCACCAGAAGTTGTGAATGCCCCAACACTGGAAGTTTTTAAGAAGAGATTGGACAACCATTTGTCTGAAATGGAATAGGTTTTCCTGCCTGAACAGAGGGTTGGACTAGAAGACCTCCAAGGTCCCTTCCGACTCTGTTATTCTATTCTATAACATAGAAAGTGCTATCAATTTTTGAGTGATTTTTAGTTTTCTCTACTCCCCCCCCCTCCAGACTTTCATTTTTATTTTGGCATATATGTCTTTTTTTCTGATTCTTTCCTAGACTTTTCCTCCAGTCCCTGTGAAACCAGATTATACCTTCCACGGCAAGTTCAAAGACCGAGCATCCTTTCTCCCCGTGGCGGAAAAACCATGTCCTGCTTACGTGGCCCCAATAAAAGGTAAGGATTTTGTCACCAGGATGGGTGGGAAGGAAATGCGAGTCTTTCTTGGGTTGAGTTCCAGTAAGTTTTGAAAAGGGATGACTTCTGGTTTTGAAGATCCTGGAAGGAAAGGAGGCGATTGAAAGTGGCCATGTAGACTTTGGGATCAGAGGCTCAGAAAGACCATACCTGTTTTCCTTTATCCTAGTTTTCAGCGCATAGGTTAATAATCCCACATTACAGAAACACGGATTCAAGTTGAACGTTAGAAAAATTATCTAAAGACAAGAATGGTTTTGACGCTCAACCCCTATTATCTAGAGAGGTAAAACCATCTAAAGATAAGGAGGGTTTGACGCTCAACCCCTATTATCTAGAGAGATTGTGGTACAGCTGGATGGGTTAATTTGAGTTGCTTTGATTCGGATTCCTGCGTTGAACGGAGAGTTGGACTTTGAGGCCTCTTCTAACTCTGCAGGTTTGATAAGAAGCCACCTAGCTCAGCTTTTTCTTCACTTAGTTACCGTCGTTGGGTAGACACTGTTTCTGGGTGTGTTTCTGAGTTTTTGTGTTGATGTTGAAAAATAGAGTAGAATTAGAACAGAGCAGAACATGAATATGAATAAGGAACTTAGAATGGAATAGAATAAGAATAGAATAAGAAATTAGAATAGAATAGAATAGGAATGGGAATAGAATAAGAATAGAATAAGAATAGAATAAGAAATATAGAACAGAACAGAATAGTATAAATATGGAATGGAATACAATTAGAATAGAATAGAATAGAATAGAATAGAATAGAATAGAATAGAATAGAATAAATATAGAAGGGAAGGGAAGAGAAGGGAAGAGAATATAGAACAGAACAGAATAGTATAAATATAGAATGGAATGGAATGGAATGGAATAGATATAGATATAGATATAGAAGGGAGATATAGAAGATATAGAAGGGAATATAGAACAGAACAGAATAGTATAAATATAGAATGGAATAGAATAATGGAATGGAATGGAACAGAACGGAACGGAACGGAACGGATCATAACATCTGATCAGTCGTGTAATCAACGTATTTTATGGCTATCCTGAGTTACTGCTGGGATGGCCAGCTCCGTTACAGTCGTAACCCGAGGACGACCTGTACACGGGAGGAGAAGGCCATTCAAAACTGCCAGTCCCAAGGGCCATCTCTGTCACCCTGGCAACCCCAGCTAGTGTCCCTAAAGTTGCTGACCTTCCAGAGGCAGCTGCCCAGCTGCCTACCAGGTGGAGGAGGAAAGGCTGGGTCCTTGGGCTGATGCTTCTTCAGCAGGGCTCACGGATGGCCGCTCTGTGGCTCCTTGGTTGACCATTGCTCTCTTGCTGAGCTTCCTTCTCTCGTTGCAGTGATTTGCCAGATGGAGGGAAGCGGTCAGTGGCCTCGGGACAAGGAGGCCATTCAGCGCATCAAAGCTGCTTTCCAGTTGCAGCTGGCGGAAATCCTGAACCAGCAACACCACCTGCTGTGCCGGCCAGCCGCCACCTACACCGATATACATAAGGTGATAGTCCTGGGGCACCTCCCCCCCCCTCCTTCCCTTCCATCTATCTCTATTATCTCCTTCCTTCCACCCACCCATCTATCCATCTATATTATCTTTCTTTCTCTCTCCTTCCTTCCTTCCTTCCCTCCCTTCCTTCTCTATTATCTTCCATCCATCCTTCCTCTCTCCCTTCCTCCCTCTCTTTCCTTATTTCCTTCCATCTATATTATTTTCTCTCCCTCCTTCTCTACTATCTTCTTTTGTTCTCTATTATCTTCCTTCCACCCATCCTCCCTCCCTTCCTTCCTCCCTCTTTCTTCCTTCTTTCCATCCTTCCTTCCTCCCTTTCCTTCCTTCCACCCATCCTCCCTCCCTCCCTCCCTCCTTCCCTTCCATCTATCTCTATTCATCCATCCACCCACCCACCCATCTATCCATCTATATTATCTTCCTTCCTCTCTCCTTCCCTCCCTTCTCTATTATCTTCCATCCATCCTTCCTCTCTCCCTCTCCCCTTCCTTCCTCCCTCTCTTTCCTTATTTCCTTCCATCTAAATCATCTTCCTCCCTCCCTTCTCTAATATCTTCCTTCGTTCTCTATTATCTTCCTCCCTCCCTCTTTCCTTCCTTCCTTTCTTTTTTCCATCCTTCCTTCCTCCCTTTCCTTCCTTCCACCCATCCTCCCTCCCTCCCTCTCTTCCTTCTTTCCATCCATCCATCCTTCCTCCATCCCTCCCTCCTTCTACCCATCTCTTTTCTCCTTTCCAGCCCTAGAGAAAATATAGGCAGTCCTTGACTTATATCCATTCATTTAGTGATCATTTGAAGTTAACAGCAGTAATGAAAAACAGAGACCGATCACCGTTTTCCACACTGACGACCGTTGCAGTATTTCCCCTTGTCACGTGATCGAAATTCAGATGCTTGGCAACTGGCATGTACTTACATCGGTTTCAGCATCTCAGGTCACGTGATCTCCTTCTGACAAGCAAAAGTCAAAAGGGGGAGCCAGATTCACTTTACAACCAGATTACCCACTGAAATTGCAGTGACGGGCTTAACAACGGTCGTAAGAGAAGTCCTACAAAGGGGCAGAACCCAACTGTCTTGCTTAGCAGCGGAAATGTTGGGCTCAACTGTGATCGTAAGTTGAGGACTACCGTCGGGGATACAGAGGCTTCCCGGCAAAGTTGGGATGGAGAAGCAGAGAAAGACGGTTGCAATTTCTAATTTGGTGTATTTCTGTAGGATGGCTACGTCTTCCGCCTTCAAGTGGCCTACCACGGGAGCCCCAGATCCTGAAGGAGTTGGTCACCCCGGAAGGGATGCTGAAGTACCAGGACACCCCAGAATATCACAGCAGCTGGAACTTGAGACCATACATCTGCCTGTCTTGACTAGCTCGCTCCATGGGTAAGAGGGAAGAGCCCTCTCTGCTTGGATCCACTCCTCTTGTGCTCTTTCGGGGGATATACACAGAGGTGGTATTTAGCCGGTTTGGGCGAACTGGTTCGGGTGAACCGGTAGTGGCTATTTGTGGGTGGACCCACCCACTCGCCCTGGCGCTATGCCCTCGTCCTATTTAGCCATCTTTTCGAAGCTGTGCGCATGCATGAAAGCCACATGTATGTGCAAAGTGAGCATTTTTGGTGTGGGGCGAACCGGTGGTAAAATTATGCAAAATCCACCTTTGGATACACAGGTAGTCCTCAACTTACAACAGTTCATTTAGTGACCGTTCAAAGTTACAACAGCACTGAAAAAAGTGACTTAGGACCGGTTTTCACATTTACGACCTATGCAGTGTCCCCATGACGGCGGGATCAAAATTCAAGATGCTCGGCATCTGTTTCGTACGTATGACCGTTGCCGTGTCCCGAGGACATGCGATCCCCTTTTGCGACCAGGCAAAGTCAAGAGGGAAGCCGGATTCACTTAACAGCTGTGGCAGGAAAATGGGGCAAAACTCACTTAACAAATGTCTCACTTAGCAACAGAAATTTTAGGCTCGATGGGGGTCATAGGTCGAGGACTACCTGCATGTTCTTTTTAGGGGGAATGAAGGAAGAAGGGGGTATTTGGCCTGGGGTCCTTGGTGCTGTCTAAGCTTGGTGGTTTTCCTATTGACGTTTCATAACCCAAATAGCACTGATGTTCCCTAGTTGGGTCATGAAAAGTCTGCAAGAGAACCACGAAGCTCAGAGAGTACCGAGGACCACACAGTCCTCCTCCTCCTCCTCCTCCTCCTCCTCCTTGCACTGATGATGTTCCCTAGTTGGGTCATGAAACATCTGCAAGAAAACCACCAAGCTCAGAGGGCACCAAGGACCCCATAATCGTCGTCATCGTCCTCCTCCTCCTTCTCTTCCTTGCGCTGATGATGTTCCCTAGTTGGGTCATGAAACGTCTGTAAGAAAACCACCAAGCTCAGAGAAGACCCCACAGTTTTGTTTTGTTTTTAAATTAGATTTATATGCCGCCCTTCTCCGGAGACTCAGGGCAGCTTACAATGCGTTAAGCAATAGCCTTCGTCCTTTTGTATATTTATACAAAGTCAGCTTATTGCCCCCACAAATTGGGTCCTCAATTTATCTACCTTAGAAAGGATGGAAGGCTGAGTCAACCTTGAGCCTGGGGAGATTCGAACATGCAATAATTGCAGACAGCTGAATGTTAATAACAGGTTTTTAGTCTGTTGAACTATCCAGGCTCAACCCTGAGCTATAAACATTCTCTTCTAGCCAATATTTGGTGTCTCCTCTCCCATGCAGTTGTGGTAGAGAAGGTCCTTTGTGAACACCAAGAGAAATCCTCCATGTTTTCAGCCCAACAAGTCTTTGTAGGCCCCAACTCCCTGGCCCTTCCAAGCTCTCCATGAGTCAACCCTTGGGTGTGATTGCCAACTTCAGGAGTTAGAAGAGCCATGTCCTCCTATCCTTGATGGAAGCTTCAACCACCAACCTCTTCCTTTCCCAGGGCAGCTGATTCAGCCAAGATTCAGCTCCTGAGGTCCATCTACTTCCTGCTTGGGCCTTTGCATTTCCATAGTTGTGCGGAGGATTGGAGTCCTCAACTTAGACCACGATAGAGCTCAAAATTTCTCTTGCTAAGTGAGGCAGGTGTTACTTTCGTCCCATTTTACGACTTTTCTTGCCATACGAATCCCTGCGGTTCTTAAGTTAGTAACATGGTTGCTAAGTGAATTTGGCTCTCCCCCCCCTCCCATCTTTGTCAAGAAGGTCACAAAAGGGGATCACTTGACCCCGGGACACTGCAACCCGTCATAAATATGAGTCGATTGCCGTGCGTCTGAATTTTGACCACGGGGATGCTGCCAACGGTTGTAAGTGTGAAACACGGTCGTGTCACTTTTGTTAGTGCCGTTGTAACTTCGGTCACTAAATGAACTGTTGTAAATCAAGAACTAACTTGAGACCCCTTCTCATCAGCTCTTCTGTCTAAAGAGCAGAATCTCTTCCAGCAAGAACTCATTGGCCATTCCATCCTCTTAGGATCTTTGATCCTCAAAAGATCCTAGTCCTGATTCCTTCACTTCTCTTCCCAAACAGGCTGCAGCAACAATATCCGGCTTTTAGCGGCAGCTGCCGTCTCGCCAAGCGATGGATCAACGCTCAGTTACTCAGCGACAGCCTCACGGAGGAGGCCGTGGACTTATTAGCGGCCTTCCTTTTCCTCTCTCCAGCTCCCTTCACGGCACCCAGGTGAGGAGGCAACTCGTTGGGCCTCTCCTCTCCTCTCCTCTCCTCTCCCCTCCCCTCCCCTCCCCTCCCCTCCCCTCCCCTCTCCTTCACCCTCCTCCCCTTCCCTTCCATAACTCTCCTCTCCTCTCCTCTCCTCTCCTTCCTCCTTCCCTTCCCTTCCATAACTCTCTCCTCTCCTCTCCTCTCCTCTCCTCTCCTCTCCTCTCCTCTCCTCTCCTTCCTCCTTCCCTTCCCTTCCATAACTCTCCTCTCTCTCCTCTCCTCTCCTCTCCTCTCCTCTCCTCTCCTCTCCTCTCCTCTCCTCTCCTCTCTCCTTCTCTCCTTCTTTCTCCTTCCCTTTCATAACTCTCTCCTCTCCTCTTCTCTCCTTCTCCTCTCCTTTTTCTCCTTCCCTTCCCTTCATAACTCTCTCCTCTCCTCTCCTCTCCTCTCCTCTCCTCTCCTCTCCTCTCCTCTCCTCTCCTCTCCTCTCCTCTTTCCTCCTTCCCTTCCCTTCCATAACTCTCTCCTCTTCTCTCCTCTCCTTCCTCTCTCCTCTCCTCTCCTCTCCTCTCCTCTCCTCTCCTCTCCTCTCCTCTTTCCTCCTTCCCTTCCCTTCCATAACTCTCTCCTCTCCTCTCCTCTCCTTCCTCCTTCCCTTCCTTCTCCTCTCCTTTCCCTCTTCCTCGTTCCCTTCCCTTCCATAACTCTCTCCTCTCTCCTCTCTCCTTCCCTTCCCTACCATAATTCTCTTTTCTTATTCCTATTCTATTCTATTCTATTCTATTCTATTCTATTCTATTCTATTCTATTCTATTCTATTCTAATACACACACACACACACACACACACACGAAGAAAGAAGAAAAAGAAGTCAACAGTTTAAGCTAAGCATTACCCTAATCTTCAAATCCCTCTGTTAAGCAACTGTTATTCTTTTGGCGCATAGAAAGTCCACAAACGGTTTCCAGTCTCCTATAAAGCTGTCTAGCCCATCATCTCTAAACAAAGCAGTTAATTTCACCATCTCTGCTAATTTAGTCAATTTCAAAATCCACTCTTCCAACCGTCGGCAACCCTTTTTCTTTTCCAGTGTGTGGCAAGTGCAGTCCTCGCAGCCGTCACCACCCCAAATTGTTTCTCAATTGACTTGTCCATCACACCTAAAAGGAGGAAAAAAAAACAGCTTCAGGTTTCATTAATATTGGTAAAAATATATATATTTTTTTGCATTGTCATTGTTCATGTCCCAAAGATGCTTTTTCAGGAGGCAACTGGACTTTCTGGTTTTTTTCTTCTGAAGACGTTTCGCTTCTCATCCAAGGAGCTTCCTCAGCTCTGACTGGATGGTGGGGAATGGAAGGATTTAAAAAAAAAACACTTTGGGGACAACCATGACCTGGAGGACTGAGAATCTCTACTGACGTTTAGCTATAGAATTTGGGATGAAGACCCTTGGAATGGGGTGGGAGTAGGAATGGATTTCCAGAGGAAAAAAATGCAGACTACAGGAACCATTTGCACAACTCAGGTGACCCTGAGGACTACAGACAAACCTCCAAGTGGCCTCAACAACCCTCTAAAAGGATGCAAATGACCAGCTGTCTGCAAGAAGTATCAATCCTTCCATTCCCCATCACACAATCAGAGCTGAAGAAGCTTCTTGGATGAGAAGCGAAACGTCCTCAAAAGAAAAAAACAAGGAAGTCCAGTTGCCTCCTGAAAAAATCACCTTTGGGACAACCAGGACGTGGATGATGGAGAATCTCTACAGACTGTCATTGTTCATGTTTATCCAATTGTTTTTTACATATTTGCAAGACCATGTAGGATAAAATGAACCTGGATTTCAACTACATTTCCAGCACTTGTTAGAAATCCCTTTCTACCATTTTGCTGGTCTTATCGGGTCAAGTACCAGCGATACATCATTTTATAAAAGTTTTCTTTCAAACTATAATGTAATGTAAGTTTTAGTCCATTCATCCGTACTTTCTCCCATTTATCCAGCGTTATATTACACCCACATTTTTTTGCCCGTTTTACCATATACTCTTTAACGTATTTTTTTTTTTAATTTGATTTATATGCCACCCTTCTCCGGAGACTCAGGGCGGCTTACAATGCGCTAAGCAATAGCCTTCATTCTTTTGTAAATTTTATACAAAGTCAGCTTATTTTCCCCACAAACTGGGTCCTCAATTTACCTACCTTAGAAAGGATGGAAGGCTGAGTCAACCTTGAGCCTGGTGAGATTCAAACCTGCAGTAATTGCAGGCAGCTGTGTTAATAATGAGGCTGGGGAGCCTCCCGGGAAGGGGGTGGGTTGTATGGGTTCAGGGATTAACCCGCGAGGGATGGGGTCTAGTCCATCTGAAGAGCACGGCGGAGGAGATGCAGAATCTGGGGCCAAGGAGAGGGTTAGAACTTGTGCTGTTGATAGACATTACATCAGTACTGTAGGTGGGAGGGGCAGATATGGTGGGAGTAGGGGGCCACATCAAGTTGCGGGAGTGCGCGCTCGCTGTCTTCAAGCGGTGGCACGCTCCGGCCCCCAATGCTCTTCTCGTTCCCCAGGTGGCACAGACCCTCAGGCCCTGGGCCTTCGGCTGATGCTATGCAATGCCAGGTCCGTGGTAAATAAAGCCCCCCTCATTTGTGATCTTGTTCAGGAGGGGGGAGCGGACCTGGTGGGTATTACGGAGACCTGGTTGGGCCAGGAGGGGGGAGTCCCTCTCATAGAGATGTGCCCACCCGGTTTCCGGGCATTTCATCAGCCAAGGTCACAGGGAAGGGGCGGGGGGGTGGCAGTTATCATTAAAGAGGGTCTTAGTCCGAGGGAGGCCACTGTTCCTCAGACGGCCGGATGTGAATCCCTCCTTGTGAAGTGGGGTCATGGGGTGCAGATGGGCCTGCTGGTTACGTACCTGGCTCCCTGCCACGTGGCAGCGGCCTTGCCTGAACTACTCAACGTTATAGCCGCGGTGGCGATTGATACCCCTAGACTTATGGTCATGGGGGACTTCAACCTGCCATCCGTCGGTGAGGCGTCTGAGGTGGCTCAGGAGTTCATGGCTTCCATGACGGCCATGGACCTGACCCAGTTAGTTCATGGCCCTACTCACACTGGGGGAAACACGCTGGACCTGGTTTTTGTCTCTGGTCAGTGGCTGAGTGGTCTCGAGATAGGGGATATAGCGATCGAGCCCTTGTCATGGTCAGATCACTCCCTCCTTCGCTTTGACCTTCGAACCGCCACACCCCGCTGCAGGGAGGCGGAACCGATGAGGTGGTTCCGCCCCAGGCGCCTGATGGACCCGGATAGGTTCCAGACGGAGCTTGGGCCATTTCCTGAGGCTCTGGCACACGGCTCGACTGAAGACCTAGTGGCTATCTGGGATAGGGTGGCCGCTGGAGCTTTGGACCGGGTCGTGCCTTTGCGGCCTCTGACCCGGCGTCGATCTCACCTGGCTCCCTGGTTCACCGAGGAGCTGAGGGAGATGAAACGCCGGAAAAGACGCCTGGAGAGCAGTTGGAGGGCCAGCCGTTCTGAATCTGACCGAACACTGGTAAGGTCTCATATTAAGACCTACCTGGTGGCAATAAAAGCGGCAAAATGTAACTATTTTTCCGCTCTTATTGCGTCATCAGATAATCGCCCGGCCGCCCTGTTTAGGGTGACCCGCTCCCTGCTCCACCAGGAAGCGCGGAAGGACCCCTTGGAGGGTAGAGCCGAGGACTTTGTACAATATTTGTATGACAAAATCGCTCAGATTCGGGAAAATTTGGACTCTGACTGGGTAGATTCGGGAGGGAGGATGGAGGCAAGTCTTGAGAATATTATCTGGGAAGAGTTTGATTCTGTGACTCTGGAAAACGTGGACAAGATACTGGGCAGACTAAGCGCGGCCACATGTTTATTGGACCCGTGTCCCTCCTGGCTGGTGCTGGCCTCTCGGGAGGTTACACGAGGCTGGCTCCAGGGGATTATAAATGCTTCCTTGAGAGAGGGTGTCTTCCCTGCTGCCTTGAAGGAGGCGGTGGTGAGGCCTCTCCTCAAGAAGCCTTCTCTGGACCCAGCAGTGTTGGCTAATTACCGTCCAGTCTCCAACCTTCGCTTCATTGCGAAGGTTGTTGAGAGTGTGGTAGCGCGACAGCTTCCTCAGTACTTGGATGAATCGGCTTATCTAGATCCGTTCCAGTTGGGCTTCAGGCCTGGATTCAGCACGGAAACGGCATTGGTCGCATTGGTAGATGATCTCTGGAGGGCCCGGGACAGGGGTTGCTCCTCTATCCTGGTCCTATTAGACCTCTCAGCAGCTTTTGATACCATCGACCATGGTATCATGCTGCACCGGTTGGAGGAGTTAGGGGTGGGAGGCACCGTGTTGCGGTGGTTCTCCTCCTTTCTATCTGATCGGTCGCAGTCTGTGTTGACAGGGGGGCAGAGGTCGACCCCGAGGCCCCTTGTATGTGGGGTGCCACAGGGGTCGGTTCTCTCACCCCTTCTGTTCAACATTTATGTGAAGCCGCTGGGTGAGATCATCCGTGGTTTTGGGGTGAAGTATCATCAGTATGCTGATGATACTCAGCTATACATCTCCACCCCGGACCACCCCAATGATGCCCTTGACGTGATGTCCCAGTGCCTGGAGGCTGTGTGGATCTGGATGGGGAGGAACAGGCTCAGGCTCAACCCATCCAAGACCGAGTGGCTGTGGTTTCCGACGTCCCGATACAGTCAATTGGTGCCATCACTGACTATTGGGGATGAGTCATTGCCCCCCACGGAGAGGGTTCGCAACTTAGGCGTCCTCTTGGACTCACGGCTGTCTTTAGAAGAACACTTGACAGCTGTGGCCGGGAGGTCTTTTTATCAGGTTCGCCTGATTCGCCAGTTGCGTCCCTTTCTGGATCGGGACTCGTTAAAAACGGTCACTCATGCCCTCGTCACTTCACGCCTGGACTACTGTAATGCTCTCTACATGGGGCTCCCCTTGAAGAGCACCCGGAGGCTCCAGCTGGTCCAGAATGCGGCCGCGCGGGTAGTTATGGGAGCAGCATGGCGCTCCCATGTGGCTCCCCTCCTGCGCGAGCTGCACTGGCTCCCTGTAGTCTTCCGGGTGCGCTTCAAGGTCTTAGTTACCACCTTTAGAGCACTCCATGGCTTAGGACCGGGGTACTTACGAGACCGCCTTCTGCCACCAATAGCCTCTCACCGCCCAGTACGCTCCCATAGAGAGGGGCTTCTCAGGGTGCCGTCAGCCAAACAATGTCGACTGGCGGCCCCCAGGGGGAGAGCCTTTTCTGTGGGGGCACCCGTCATCTGGAACGAGCTTCCCCCAGAGATACAGAAGATTCCGGATCTGCGCACTTTCCGCCGTGCCCTCAAAACATTCCTGTTTCAGCAGGCCGGCCTGGCCTAACTTTCCCTTTATATTGCTTTTTGATTTTATTTTAAACTAGGATGTCTTGAATTATCTAGGACCAGAATGTTTAGTATATTTTAATTGGTTTTTTATTATTAACATTTGTATTACATGTATTTTTATCGTTCGCTGTTCACCGCCCTGAGTCCCTTAGGAATAGGGCGGTATATAAATTTAATAAATAAATAAATAAATAAATAAATAAATAAATAACAGGGTGCTTTAAACCACTGTACTACCAAGGCTCTTGGTATTCATCTTCTAGATTTATCTTTTTTTTTTTTGTAAAATTTTATTATAAATTAGAAACAAAAAACAGAATAAAGACTATAACGAAACACAGTCACATACATACAACTGAGGTTGATTCAACCCCCCTATATATACAGTTTCTAAATAACATTACATATCATCATACTACAGCTTCAATTTGGTTTATCATACTGCATCTTGCATTTGTTAAATCTTCTTATATCTAATGTTCCCTTATTTATATTTAGCTTGCTGTTTACTACATGCTTCCCTATCATCTACCTCATGACATTTTTACTTCTATCTATTGGTACCATTTATCTCAGCTTTGATTGAAAATTGATTCTTGTCTATCTTTAAGTATGTATGTTAATCTATCACATTCTGCATGCCACAAAGTTTTATCTTTATCTTGAGTAACATTTTATATACTTTAGAAATCAAGTGGTCATCTCCGGAACGTAAATTAGCGTCCAGTTCAGATTTAGTTCCTGTGAAACCAAAATTTTTCAAATCGAAATTTGAAAAAATTCTATAACAATTAAACCAATCACAAGCAAATCCTTCACTTACTAATTGTTCTCTGTCTATGGAGATTCTCAATCCTCCAGGTCATTGTTTGTCCCTTCCCTTATCCTCCTTTGAAGTATTGTCCAGTTTCAGTTCTATGAATCCTCAATAAAACTGGACTTTCTTGTTTTTTCTTTGAAGACGTTTCACTTTTCATCCAAGAAGCTTCTTCAGCTCTGACAGGTCAGAATCCTTCCATTCCCCACCATCCTGTCAGAGCTGAAGAAGCTTCTTGGATGAAGAGCGAAACGACTTCAAAAGAAAAACCAGAAAGTCCAGCTGCCTCTTGAAAAAATACCTTTGGGATTCTCTTGTCGTTATCTTAAATCCCACTTTTTCAACTATCAATGTCTTGGGATTTATGATTCATTTTGATCCCACTTGGATATGTATGGCAAGTCTGTCTCACAAACAGGTGAACTGCAAAACAAAATATTTTTTTCCCATCCTGTTTGTTTGATCTGTCTGCAATTACAAAATTCCAGAAGTCATAATACGTCTAGAAGGTGATGAAAGCAGACAGGTAAATGCTAATCCTTAACAACTGCTGTTGGGTAAATCTTTCCACCACTGGCAAAATTAGCATTCCAGGTAGTCCTCAATTTGCAACAGCTCATTTAATGACCCTTCAAAGTTAGAAAGGCACTGAAAAAAATAATTTAGGACCATTTTTCACTCTTAATGGCCTTTGTAAGCTGCCCCGTGATCACGGGATCAAAATTCAGAGGCTTGGCAACTGACTCATACTTACGACCGTTGCTGTGTCCCAAGGTCAGCTGATCCCCTTTTGTGACCACCTGAGAGCCAAATCCAGGGGGAAGCCAGATTCACTTAACAACCGGATTACTAATGTGTCCACTGCAGTGATTCACTTAGCAACTGGGGCGAGAAAGGTGGTTAAATGGGGCAAAGCTTACTTCACCAATGTCTCACTTAACGACAGAAATGTTGGGCTCAATTGTGGCCGTAAGTCGAGGGCTACCTTATTCTGCAGAGAATCTCTTTGGTGCTTATCCGTAATCAACCAATGCCATTAATTAGCAGGAGAACTGTGTTAATTAACCTGTAGTAGCTAAAAATCCTCAGGAAATAGGTAGCCCTCTCTTTACTCCTGATAAATTTTATTACAGGTAGTCGTCGGCTTACGACCACAGTTGACCTATGTTCCTAAGCGAGACATTTGTTAAGTGAGTCTTGCCCCATTTTACGAGCTTTTTTGTCACCGTTGTTAAGTGAATCACTGCAGTTGTCAAATTAGTGACACAGTTGTTAAGTGAATCTGGCTTCCACGTTGACTTGGCTTGCCAGACGGTCGCAAAAGGGGATCACGTGACCCCAGGACTCTGCAACTATCATAAGCATGAACCAGAGTTCCAGTATCCGAATGTAAATCACGTGAGCATGGGGGAAATGCTGCAACAGTCGTAGGTGTGAAAAACAGTCGTAAGTCACTTTTTTCGGTGCTGTTGTAACTTCAAACAGTCACCAGGTAAATGGTTGTAAATTGAGAATTACTTACAGTGGCTAAAAATCCTTAGGAAACTGGTAGCTAACTCTTTTCTGCTAAGAAATTTGATTAAAAGGCACAGCCTCACGAGGTTAGGCCTTTTTGCGGGTAGTCCTCGACTTACCACAGTTCCCTTAGTGTCCGTTCAAAGTTACAACTGCACTGAAAAAAAAAATGACTTAGGACTATTTTTCATACTTATGACCGTTGCACCATCTCCGTGGTCATGTAATTTATGGATGCTGGACAACTGACTCAATTTACGACGGTTATAGCGTCACAGGGGTCATGTGAGCCCCCCCCCTTTTACGACAGTCTAACAGGTATCCTGTCGCCCTGCCTATTTAACTTATATGCAGAGCACATCATGAGAAAGGCGGGGCTAGATGAATCAAAAATTGGAATTAAGATTGCTGGGAGAAATATCAACAACCTCAGATATGCAGATGATGTCACTCTAATGGCAGAAAGCGAAGAGGAACTCAAGAGCCTCTTGATGCAGGTGAAGGAGGAGAGTGCAAAAGTTGGCTTGAAACTTAACATTAAGAAAACTAAGATCATGGCACCCGGCCCTCTCAATTCCTGGCAAATAGATGGGGAAGAAATGGAGGTAGTGACCGATTTTATTTTCCTGGTCTCCAAGATCACCGCAGATGGGGACTGCAGCCAAGAAATTAAAAGATGCCTGCTCCTGGGGAGGGAAGCTATGGCAAATCTAGACAGCATATTAAAAAGCAGAGACATCACCCTGCCAACAAAAGTGCATATAGTCAAGGGGATAATTTTCCCAGTTTGCAATGGATGGCTGTGAAAGTTGGACTATAAGGAAGGCTGAGCGCCAAAGAATGGAGGCCTTTGAACTCTGGTGCTGGAGAAGACTCCTGCGAGTCCCTTGGACTGCAAGGCGATCCAACCGGTCAGTCCTAGAGGAGATCAACCCTGACTGCTCTTTAGAAGGCCAGATCCTGAAGAGGAAACTCAAATCCTTTGGCCACCTAATGAGAAGGAAGGACTCCCTGGAGAAGAGCCTAATGCTGGGGAAGATTGAGGGCAAAAGAAGAAGGGGACGGCAGAGAAGGAGGTGGCTGGATGGAGTCACTGAAGCAGTCGGCGTGAGCTTCAATGGACTCCAGAGGATGGTAGAGGACAGGAAGGCCTGGAGGAATGTTGTCCATGGGGTCGCGATGGGTCGGACACAACTTCACAACTAACAACAACAAACAGGCCAAGTCGATGGGAAAGCCAGATTCATTTAACAACTGTGTGACTAATTTAACAACGGCAGTGATTCACTTAACAAACGGGGCAAGAAAGTTCGTAAAATGGGGCAAGGCTCACTTAACAAATGTCTCACTTAGCAACCTAAATTTTGGGTTCAATTCTGGTCTTAGGTTGAGGGCTACCTGTATAAAATTTGTTAGCAGGACAAGGGGCTACTGCAGTAGCTCCTTTTTGGATTCTTTTGCAAGGAACAACTGCAATTTCATGATTCTTACCAAGAATTAAGTACGGTAGAACCCAACTCCACTTAACATTTATTTACTTACTTACTTACTTACTTATTTATTTATTTTATTTAACTTCTTTAATTTTATTTAACTTCTCAATAAATCAAGTTTTCTCTTGTGGAAAAAAAGCGCAGAGAGGAGCAACTAAGATGATTAAAGGCCTGGAGACTAAAACATATGAAGAACAATTGCAGGATTTGGGTTTTGGCTAGTCTAGAGAAAAGGAGGAGTGGGGGGGGGACGCGATAGCAATATTCCAGTATTGAGGGGCTGCCCCAAAGAAGAGGGGGCTCAACTTACTTTTCAAAGCACCAGAAGGCAAGACAAGAAACAATGGAGATGAATCGAGGAGAAAAGCAACCCTAGAACTAAGGAAAAATTTCCTGACAGAACAATTGATTTAATCCGATTTTACTTCTGCTCTTAAATTTTTGTATTCTATGTGTTTTATCTTGTGCCTGTTCACCGCCCTGAGTCCTTCGGGAGTAGGGCGGTATATAAATCAAATAAAATGAAAATGAAATGAAATGAAAATTAACCAGTGGGACAGCTTGCCACCAGAAGTTGTGGGTGTTTCACCACTGGATGTTTTTGATATCCTTAGGGTATGATTTGTTAAAGATTCCTAATAAAAATGTTTCTGGTTCTTTTTCAATCTGTGTTTTTGTTATTTGTTCCACTGGATGTTTTTAAGAAGAAATTGGACCGCCATTTTGTCTGAAATGGTATCGGGTTTCCTGCTTGAACAGGGGGTTGGACTAGAAGACCTCCAAGGTCCCTTCCAGCTCTATTCTGATGGAGTGATTTGTGTGTTCGCTTTTCTACTCGCAGCCCAAAGCTTTTCTTTTCTATTCTCTGTCGTTAGAGGCTTTGTTTCAATCTGGTGTTGAGATATAATACTTCTCACCTGCTTCCGATTGTTTTCCTCCGCCCGCAGCTCTCCCCAGGTGGGCTTCCTTCGCTTCCTTCACCTGCTCGCCACCTTTGACTGGAAGAACAGCCTTCTGTTGGTGAACCTCAACGGAGACCTCAAAGGTGAGCCAGCGGAGGGGATGAAATTTCCATTTGTCTTAATTTTTTTGGGGTAGATCCAATGGCTCAAAGAGGCGGTTGGATGGAGGTGAGAAATTCTTTCCCCCGAGATTGCCTGGCCCAGGGGTGTCTCCGAAGACACAAAAGATGGAAAGCGGCACTGCAAACACACGGATTAATCATCCCTGCTTTCTTTACACCTTGTTGTAAGGGATGTTGTCATCCGATCTGGGCCGCAGGGCAGGTGGTTGTAATCCAATTGACACGGCAGCTTAAAGACCATCCCGAACCTTTTGTTCCCAATCCTCCCCTGCCCCCAATATAAATGTACTAAATCACATTGTCGAATATAAGTTGAGGCTTGCTGGATTTTTGTTGTTGCTGTTTCCAACAATTGTCAGCCCAGCGTTTCTGGAATTTTCCAGCCAGGTTGGGTGATGGCCTGAGGTAGATGGATCTTCCAACTCCTCTAAGTTGTGCAGTGTGGTTATTTGTACAAGTATCCTCAACGTACGACCACAATAGAGCTCAAAATGTCTGTTGCTAAGCGAGACGTTGCTCCTAAGTGAACGTTGCTCCTTTCTACGACGTTCCTTGCCGCCGTTGGCAAGTGAAATCGCTGGCACTTGTTCAGTTAGCGACACGGTTAAGTGAATTTGGCTTCCCTGTTGACTGGGATTATCAGAAGTCACTAACGGGGGATCGCACGATCCCACAAATTTTGATCACGTAACCAGGAAGATACTGGATGCAACGGTCGTTAAGAGAGCTTTGAGTACAGGTTCCCCACAGGGCTGTGCCTTGAGTCTTTTTCCTTCTGTCCTGGTCACTTCTTACAGAGCCACAATTGAGAGCATTTTAACAAACCACATCCCTGTTTGGTTTGGTGGCCACGGTGCCTGAAATAGAAAGTCCCTATAGAGAGAGGTGAGGACAGCGGAGAAGATTATAGGAAGCTTGCTTCCTGTTATTCAGAATACCGCTTATAAGCGCTATGTGCATAGAGCTCAAAGCATTGTTAGAGACCCCCACACACCTACTCATGGTCTGTTTCTGTTGCTCCCCTCTGGGAGGGGGTTTCAAAGTATCTCTAGCAGATTCTGTGACAGTTTTGTTCTCTAGGGCAGTGGTCCCCAACCTTTTTATCGCCGCGGCCCGCTGAGCGCGCACAGGGGTGGGGGCACGGCCCAGGAGCTTTTGCGCATGGCCCATTGCGCATGGCCCATTGCGCACGGCCCAGGAGCTTTTGCGCTGCAGCGTTCATGTCCCCCGGCCGCTGCGCGGCCCGGTGCCAGGTACTCCACGGCCCGGTACCGGTCTGCGGACCGGGGGTTGGGGACCACTGCTCTAGGGCATCCGTCTGGTGAACTCGCAAGATTCGTTTCTCTCGCCATGTACATATATACATCCAAACTTTTTTCTTTTCTTTTCTCTTTTCTTTTCTCTTTTCTTTTCTCTTCTTTCCTTTCCTTTCCTTTCCTTTCCTTTCTTTCTTTCTTTCTTTCTTTCTTTCTTTCTTTCTTTCTTTCTTTCTTTCTTTCTTTCTTTCTTTCTTTCTTTCTTTCTTTTCTCTTCTCTTTTCTTTCTTTCTTTCTTTCTTTCTTTCTTTCTTTCTTTCTTTCTTTCTCTTGTCGTGTTTATGTTTATGTTTATGTTAGGGGTAGAGACCCTATGAGAGCTGCCTGCAACATAATTTCATTTTAATATGTGCCGATCAGTGGACATTCAAAGTGACAATAAAGTTATTCTAACTCTTCTAAGTCTAAGAATGAAAAACGGTCAGAATTCACTTTTTTGAGTGCCGTGGTATCGTTTTAACAGAATAACAGAGTTGGAAGCTACCAAGGCTGAGAAACACTGAATTAAATAGTTTTGAAGCGCCGGGGAGAAAGACTGCAGAAGGGGTGAGACCTGCTCAGTTCTTTTCCACACTTGTCAAACGCACAACCTTGACATGCCACACCTGAGTAGGCGCCTAGGTATTTCTGCGTAGACCTGTTTACCTGACCGGGGCGTAACCTGAAGAGGTTGCAAAATGATAGGGTTCTCCCACCCCCACCCCCTATTTCCCACTCCCTTCTCACCCCTCTCTGAGGTCAGGCGAGGCATTGCGTGTTTTCAATCATATACAGACAGTCGACAACTTAACAACCGTTCTTTTGTGGCCCTTCAAAATTAACAATGGCACTTTTAAAAAGTGAGGTATGTCCGGTTCTCGCACTTATGACCATTGCAGCATTCCCACGGTCTCGTGATCAAAATTTGGGCTCTTGGCAACTCACACACAATGGCACATAAACAAAGGAGCCTGAGTGGTGTAGGAGGCTAATGCCTCCTACTAAGGCAGCATTTAACATCCAGCTGCCTGCAATTACTGCGAGTTCAATTCTCGCCAGGCTCAAGGTCGACTCAGCCTTCCATCCTTTCTAAGGTGGGTAAAATGAGGACCCAGTTTGTGGGGGCAATAAGCTGACTTTGTATAAAATATACAAAAGTATGAAGGCTATTGCTTAACGCATTGTAAGCCGCCCTGAGTCTCCGGAGAAGGACGGCATATAAAAATAAATAAAAATAAAAATAAAAAAAAACACAGCTTTATGGCTTACGTCGACAAAGGAGCTCAAGATTTAAATGGTTAGGTGAGACATTTGTTCAGTGAGTTTTGCCCCATTTTACGACCTTCCATGCCACGATTGTTAAGTGAATCACGGCAGTTAGTCTAGTAACCCGGTTGTTAAGTGAAATCTGGTTTCCCCCATTGACGTTGCTTGTCGGTAGGTCACAAAAGGAGACCCTGCAGCCGTCATAAATACGAGTCAGTCCGTTGCCAAGCGTCACTGTGGGGGGGATACTGCAACGGTCATAAGTGTGAAAAATGGTCGTAAGTCACTTTTTTCAGTGTCGTTGTAGCTTTGAATGGTCACTAAATAAACTGTTGATAAGTCGAAGCTGCCTGTATAAGAGGCTTAAGCTTAAAACAGCAGATTTAGATAGAACTAAAATAATTTTAAAAATCGTCTTTTTAAAAGGTGCCATTTTGTGGCCTCCTTCTTAGTTTTTGGAGTGGGATCTTTAGTTCTTTAGAATATCCGGCCTGGAGATAATTAATGCTAGAATTGAAATTAGCGCCTAGTTCAATATAGTGCACTAGGTGGCATAGATGTCAGCCTTTTTCAAGGGAACTCCTGCGTTAATTTCCTAAGAGGCGTTTCAGAGTTAAACACTGAAGCATTTCCTAGAGGCTCTGGCTAGGAGAACATGTCTGCAAATCGGTAAGGTGGCATATAAATTTCTTTGTCCTTGTCCTCCTGTTGCTGCTTTTTTCCTGCTATTTACAAGGGCCAGCTACTTGTACGTAAATAGGGAGAAAAATCTCACTCCCTTCTGGCACTGAGGTTGTTAAGTAGTTGGGTTGTAAAAGGTCAGCAAGGAAACAACCAAGCACAGAGAGCATTGAGGACCCATCCTCCTCCTCCTCCTCCTCCTCCTCCTCCTCCTCCTCCTCCTCCTCCCCCTCCTCCTCCTCCTTCTCCTCCTCTCCACAAACCCCACTCCCTTCTGGCACTGAGGTTGTTACCTACTTGGGTCAGGAAACGTCCGCAAGAAGCGTATGTTGTTTTTAAAATAAATTTCCTTGAAATTATAATAATGTAATATATACAAAGGTAAAGTAAAAAAGAGTAGGGCAATTGGAAAGGATAAGAAAGGAAGAGAAATATAAGATACAGGTGGAAAGGTTTATAAAAGTAGATTAAAAATAGATTTCAGTGCCAGAATAAAATACAGAATAAACTTTTTTTTTGACTTTTTTTTCCTTTTACGTGCTTAATAATCACATAGCCATTTCTATGATTTTAGAAATTATAGGTAGTCCTTGACTTACGACCGTTCATTTAGTGACCGTCCAAAGTTACAACAGCGCTGAAAAAAATGACTTAGGACCGTTTTTTCATACTATGTCCGTTGCAGCGTCCCTGCGGTCAGGCGATCAAAATTCAGACGTGGCAACTGACTCGTATTTATGACGGTTGCAGCGTCCCAGGGTCACTTTTGATCCCCTTTTGCGACCTTCCAGCTTGCAGAGTCGACAAGGGAAGGCAGATTTCCTTAACAACCATGTGACTCGTTTAACAACAGTGATTCACTTAACAACGGTGGCAAGAAAGTTCATAAAATGGGACAAAATTCACTTAACAACTGCCTGGCTCGGCAACAGAAATTTTGGGCTCAATTGTGGTCGTAAACCGAGGAACTACCTGTGGGTCGAATCAATCAAACCAGGACTCAAAAACTCCATTTATTTTTTTTTCCTGTTTTCTGGAGAAGAGCAGAAGCTGAAACAAAACCCGAATCTGTTCTTTTCTCTAATTAAAACCACTCAATTTTGCCATTTCTGGCAGCTCCGTCCTAGTTGTGTACTTTTGACTAAAAGAGTATTCCCCCCACTTCCTTTTAAAGGGCGGAGGCCCTTTTCCAGCTCAAAATCCTGTTTGGCCACTTGCTTTGCAGAAGAAAGAAAATAAATCCTGGCTGAGAAATTATCCCGAAAATTAACCGGATTCGATTTCGGAAAGAACAGCCCCCTGCTTTTCAAGCTGAAACAGGCTCCCTTTGCAGTATCAACCTGTGAAAAACAGGATTTATGCTGAAAGAAAAGAAGGTGGATGAGCTAAGGGACCTCAACCCAAGCGGGTTACAAAATTGGGCCACTTTGAAGAGGTCCACGCGGGGGCTGCCCTTGGAGACCGTTCAGGGGCTTGAGCTGGTGCAAAATACAGTACAAATAAAGGAGAATATTTGTAGCTGGGGGTTGAACTGAGCTTGGTGGTTTTCCTTTCAGAAGTAACCTCATCAGTTCTAGAAAGGAGGGGGGATTGGAGGAGGAGGAGGAGGAGGGTGGGGTTCTTGGTGTCCTCTGATCTTGGGTGTTTTCTTGCAGACTTTTCGTTACCCAATTTAGGTAGCATCTTCAGTGCTAGAAATGTTGGGTTTAGCATGGGCAAGTCTAGTGCTGATGACGTTACCTAGTTGGGTCAAGAAACATCTGTAAGAAAACAAGCAATCTCAGAGAACACCAAGAACTCCATATTTCAACCCTGCAGAACAAATATTCTCCTCTATTGGTGTCTGTCTGTCTGTCTATATCTATTTGTCTATCTGTTTATCATCTATTTGTCTGTCTCTGTCTGTCTATCTATCACTTATCTCTATCATATCTATCTATTTATCTCCATCCATCATCCATCTATCTATCTATCTATCTATCTATCTATCTATCTATCTATCTATCTATCTATCATCCTGTTCTGTCCCCCTTCCTCACACAGGCAAACGTAATACCAAGCACGGCTGCCAATATTTTATTAGGTAAACAGATTAGAATTCTTGGCAGACCAAGGTTTCGGCAGCAAACTGCCGAATGCCTGCCAAGACCTTTTTCGCTCCCATAAAGCAGAAGAGGACTTATCTTCAGTCCGTTCCAGGAGCAACAAATTATCCACCAGACAAGAGTTTAGTCAATGTTCAGTCCAAAATATATCCAAGCCGAATTTCAGAGATCACGATGTGACGTTCAGGTTTTTAACTTTGTCCGTCACAAAGCCTGAAGAGCAATCCCACCCACTTTTATTTCCCGGTGGGGCGTGGCTCCGTGACTCAGCTCAATCTCTGGCCCTCCCACGCCTCTTCCGTTGCTGTGCACGCTTCTCCCTCCGATGCTGCCTGGGATCAAGCCAGGATTCATCCTCCTCGCTCCCTATCAATTGGTGCTCTGATATGCTTTCCTCCTGGCATTTCCTAGGCTGTTCCTCCTGGCCTTCGGATGGAACCTGAGGCATTGCCAGAGAGGAGGGTCCTGGAGAGGGAGGCCTTGTCAGTTCCTCCCCATCACCTGCTGAGTCCTCTTTCTCTGTTAGGACAGGCTCGGGAGTCGGGGTCACAACACGTCTATCTATCTATCTATCTATCTATCTATCTATCTATCTATCTATCTATCTATGTGTACAGTTAATATCTCGGGTTTCTTCCCGTGTAATTGTAAACATATCCTTAAAAGGGTAGTAGCGACGTTGTGTGATTGTGTGACGAAATGTGATTTCGTTGAAACGTTGCTACTACCCTTTTAAGGATATGTTTACAATTACACGGGAAGAAACCCGGGATATTAATTGTACACACATATATACCGTGAAAACTTACATAAAAATCTATCTATCTATCTATCTATCTATCTATCTATCTATCTATCTATCTATCTATCATCTCTTTCTCTCTCTCTCTCTCTCTATGCTAGACCAAAGGTCAAAAACTAAACAACAGCTTAATAAAGAACCACCAAGAACATTAAATTGAAATGTTTTAAATTATGGGCCAAATTATTTTAAATCTGTTTTAACTTTTGTGTATAAAGTGTTTTACTTTGGCTGTTCACCGCCCTGAGTCCAAAAGGAGAAGGGCGGTATAGAAATCTGAAAAATAAATAAATAAACATTCACAGTAACATTGTCAGGGCAAGCAACTTGTATATAAGTTCATTACCTATAGTTAGGTAATGAAACGTCTGCAAGAAAACTTCCAACCTCAGAAAGCACCAGAAACCACACCGTCCTTTTCTTCCTCCTCTTCCTCCAACCCCACTCATTTCTAGCACTGATGATGTTCCCTAGCTGGGTCACGAAACGCCTGCAACAAAACCTCCCAGCTCAGAGAGCACCAAGGACCCCACCGCTCAACCCTGAGCTACAAATATTCTCTGTTGTTATAAATGAGTATCAAAAGCACCCCACTTCGTGCCCCTTAACAAAACATCTCTCTCTCAGAATGATGATTCTGCCTTCTCGGGGCCCAGAGAGCCAAGAGACTCAGTCAGGAGGCATTATTAAAACTCAGCTAAATGTGATCATCAGTTTTGGAACCCGGGGCAGTCAAGTTAACAAAAACTGCCCTCCTAGACGGGTGTATGAAAATCTGCGTTGTGCGTCTACGTGAGGGATACATCAAAGGCAGATCTTGGCTGGGTCAGCTTGGTTCTTAACGAAATGCAAGCCCTTTGATTAAATCACCCCATTAAGTTTTTGCTGCCTTGAAATGCAAAATTTCTGCCAGAAAAACCTGTTTTCTTTCCATCCTTGGGGGTGGGATTTACCCCTCCCAACAGTTTGCCTTGTCATTCTCTTTTTTTAATTAGTGTAGTATATTGTGACAGACAAACATAGAACAAGGCAGCAGTGTCACTACAGTGAAAATTTATGGTGATTGGCACAAAGTCACCCAGCTGGCTTTCGTGCATAAGGCGGGACTAGAACTCAACATTTCCTGATGATTGGCCCAAGGTCACTCAACCATCTGGTTTTCATGCCTAAAGTGGGACTAGAACTCACTGGCTCCTGGTGATTGGCCCAAAGTCACCCATCTAGCTTTCATGCCTAAGGTGAGACTAGAACTCACTTTGTCTCCAGGTGATTGGCCCAAAGTCACCCAGATGTCTTAAATGCCTAAGGCGGGACTAGAAATCACCATCTCCTGGTGATTGGCCCAAAGTCACCCAACCGTCCTTTGTGCCTAAGGCAGGACTAGAACTTAACGTCTCCTGGTGATTGGCCCAAAGTCACCCAACCGTCCTTTGTGCCTAAGGCAGGACTAGAACTTAACGTCTCATGGTGATTGGCCCAAAGTCACCCATCTGGCTTTCATGCCTAAAGTGGGACTAGAACTCACTGGCTCCTGGTGATTGGCCCAAAGTAACCCAGCTGTCTTTCGTGCATAAGACAGGACTAGAATTCATCGTCTCCTGGTGATTGGATCAAAGTCGCCCAACTATCTTTCTGGACTAGAACTCACTGTCTCCTGGTGATTGGCCCAAAGTAACCCAGCTGTCTTTCGTGCCTAAGGGGGGACTAGAACTCACCGTCTCCCTCTTTTTAGCTTGGTGCCTTAACCAGTAGATCAGGGGTGTCAAACTCACCGCCCGCAGCCCGACTGTCACCTGCTGGCCCCGCCCCTTCCCAGTTTAGCAAAGGGGGGGGAAGTCCCGATACGTCACGTGACACTGCCATGACGACCGAAGTTTGACATCTCTGCAGTAGACCAAACTCACTCACTCCCTCTCCCTCTCCCTTTGAATTTTCCTAAAAATATGCTTGCGAATAAATGGTTAAATACAAAAGCAATTCAGAGATGGGCAACTGTCTTCTGACATGGTGACATTTTGGGTTTTCTTTCATCCAGAGGCAGATTGTGTAGCCATCAGAAGCCACTTCTTGGAAGCTCGGCCTCGTCTCCCGGCCATGTTCATTGCTACCCCGAAAGACCAGAAATTATCAGTGTGGACCAGAGAGAAGCCATCGCCTCAGGTACGTCCAGCTGTGGCCCCCTTACCTGGGCAGTGTCTTCTTTTCTCTACTTCTCACTGCGGAATGAGATCAGCTGCTGGACCTTTCCGTTGGCACAGATGAATGAAAGGTCCGGTATGAAGGCCTGTCCTTCACGTGGCCCAACTCTGTTGTTCTCACTTGGTTGCAAGAGAACCAGTGAAATCTGATTGCCCACTCAGCCTTGTGGGGTCCTTGGTGGTCTCTCAGCTTGGTGGTTTTCTTGTAGACGTTTCATGACCCAACTAGGCAACATCCTCAGTGCTAGAAAGAAGAGGAGTTTGTGGAGAGGAGGAGGAGGAGGAGGACTGTGAGGTCCTGAGCTTGGTGGTTTTCTTGTAGACATTTCCTGACCCAACTAGGTCACATCATCAGTGCTACTGAGTGTGGGATTTATGGAGAGGAGGAGGAGGAGGACTTGGGTTCTTGGTGATTTCCTTGCAGAAGTTTCATTACCAAACTACATAACATCGTCAGGGCTAGAAGGGGATGGGGTTTGCTCTAGGTTTATGTAGTCGTGGCTTGCCTGTCAGTGTTGGTGGAGAACTTCTTGGTAGTTCTGTTATTTACTGAGTTGGTAATCAACTAAAAACAGCAAACCTCACTCCCTTCTTGCACTGATGCTGTTACCTAGTTGGGTCATGAAACATCTAAAAGAAAACCTTCCAAGCTTGGAGAGCATCAGGGACCCCACAGTTGAACTGAGCTACAGATATTCTCTTGTCACCACCAGGCTTTCAATCCAGCACTCAGAGCTGAGAAATAAGATACAGATAGTCCTCAGGTTACAACGGTAATTGGGGCTGAAATTTCCATCGCAAGGGATGCCAGAAAGGTCACAACTGTGAAAAATGGCCCTAAGTCACTTTTCTCAGTGCCATTGTCACTTTGAACGGTCACTAAATGAACTGTTATAAGTCGAGGTCTACCTGTACTGAAAAAAAGTGATTTAATGACCATTTAACAACCGTGATCATAAGGATGCTGCAATGGTCGTAAGTGTGAAAATCAGCCATCAGTCACCTTTCTTTCGGTTCTACTCGCCCTGCCTGGTTGACCTCTCCTTAAGAGCTCTTCCTCTTCCCTTCCCCAGATCCTTCAGCGCCTCCTTGTACTGGCCCAAGAGGCCCTTCAGGTGTTGGACAAGCAGCTGATGGACCCTCTGGGAACCCAGGATGTGAAGGTGAGTTCTTCAAGAGGAGGCCAGAGGTCCTTTTCACCAGAGGTGGACCACCCCAGGATGCCCATGTCCTACTTTGAATGCCCTTCTTATCACTCAAGCTAGAGGAAATCGGAATGAGGCAACTTGCCACGGCCAACTCACCAAAGCCGGCTCACCATGGCCAGCTCCCCAGTGAACTCCCCACAGACAACTCCCCACAGTCAACTCACCACGGTCAACTCTCCATGGCCAACTCTCCATGGCCAGCTCACCAAGGCCAACTCCTCACAGTCTACTCCCATGGTCAACTCCCACGGTCAACTCCCCACAATCAACTCACCATGGCCATTTCACCAACGTCAACTCCCCATAGTCAGCTCCCCATGGTCAACTCCATTGCCAACTCACCACGGCCAACTCCCCATGGTCAACTCCCCACAGTCAATTCCTCATGGTCAACTCCCCACAGGCAACTCTCCATGGCCAACTCACCAAGGCCAATTCTCCATGGCCAACTCCCCACGGTCAACTCCCCACAGGACAATTGGAGAATTCAATTTAATTATTTAAAATATACAAAAAAAATCATTTTTTCATTTTTGTGTCATTCACCTTTCTTTTTCTTTTTTTTTTTTAATATACTTTCTTAAATTTTTCCATTATAAAAGAAAGAAAGAAAAAAAAGATATACAATCTCTATCTCCTTCAGAGGTACAGTGTTTATACAATTTACGGAATCATACGTCAAATAAACTTCATCCTTAGCTGTTCAATATTCTATGCAATATAGCTCGTACTTCAAGTGCATAACAAGTCATATCCTAAAATCATGTTTTTGTCTTGTTCTTCAACCAATTGTACCAATTTCCCCATACTTCATAATATTTCACCTTTCATTCTGCCTCTCCTTTTGCATCTCTTCTTTAATTATTCTGTTCCACCATTTCATTGATATTAGCGTAATTATTGTCCCGCAGCGAGTTGGCCGTGTCAAGTTGTCCATGCACGTTGGCCGTGGGGAGTTGGCCATGGGCAAATTGTCCTAGACCCCAGGGGAAATCCTTCAGAAGATCGACTCAAGATTCAAAAGGTTTTTGACAGGTCTGAGCATTGGGCCCTATCGAATAAAATACAGTTCATTGGTGAAAAAAGCAAGGCTCTACACTTTGGTCGGAAAAACCAAATGCACAGGTAGAAAATAGGTGGTACCTGGCGCAATAGTAGTAACTAGGAGAAGAATCTGGAAGTCCTGGTGGACAATCTTCAGTTTAGAATAACAGAGTCAGCAGGGACCTTGGAGGTCTTCTAATCCAACCCCCTGCTTAGGCTGGAAACCCTACACCACTTCAGACAAATGGTTATCTAACATCTTCTTAAAAACTTCCAGTGTTGGAGCATTCACAACTTCTGGAGGCAAGTTGTCCCACTGATGAATTGTTCTCACTGTCAGGAAATTTCCCCTTAGTTCTAAGTTTTTTTTTTTTATTTATTTATTTATATGCCACCCTTCTCCGAAGACTCAGGGCGGCTTACAATGCGTTGCTTCTCTCCTTGATTAGTTTCCACCCATTGCTTTTTGTCCTGCCTTCAGGTTCTTTGGAGAATAGCTTGACTCCCTCTTCTTTGGGGCAGCCTTTGAGATATTGGAAGACTGCTATCACGTCTCCCCTAGTCCTTCTCTTCATTAAAGTAGACTTACCCAGTTCCAGCAACTGTTCTTCATATGTTTTAACCTCCAGTCCCCTAATCCTCTTCATTGCTCTTCTCTGCACTCTTTCTAGAGCCTCTTTTTTATGTCATGGCCACCAAACCTGTATGCAGGATTCCAAGTGTGGCCTTACCAAGGCATTATAAAGTGGTATTAACACTTCACGTGATCTTGATTCTATCCCTCTGTTGATGCAGCCCAGAACTGTGTTGGCTTTTTTGGCAGCTGCTGCACACGGCTGGCTCATATCTAAATGGTTGTCCACTAGGACTCCAAGATCCCTCTCACAGTCACCACTATTGAGCGAGGTACCACATATACAGTACCTGTGCATTTTGTTTTTCTTCCCTAAATGATCATATATTCAAAATTCAGGCACTTGGCAACTGGCTTGTACTTATGACAGTTGTAGTATCCCGGGGTCAAGTGATCTCCTTTTGCGACCTTCTGACAAGCCAAGTCCAGGGCGAAGCCGGATTCGCTTAATGACCCCAGGATTTGCTTAACAACTGCAACAATTCACTTCACAATTGCGGCAAGGAAAGGTCGTTAAAATGGGGCAAAACTCACTGAACGACTGTCCCGCTTAGAAACATGAAATTTTGGGTTCCATTGCGGTCGTAGGTCGAGGACCGCCTGCCATGCGATCCACTTGGAGAATTTTCTCGGCGAAATTAGGGGTGAAGATTTTTATAAGGATCTTTTATCGTTTGGGAGACGTTTGTACATGTGTTTCTTCACGAAGTACAGTACTGGGTTCCAGTTACCTCGGCTACCGGATCGGAATTTGGGAGCACGCGTGTGCGCACGCTTGCTTTGTTTGCACATGGTGCTTCTGCGCATGTGCAGAGTTTCCGTGATGACGTCGGGCGGGCGGGTGGAGCCAAACAGTTCGTTTGTGTGTGTCAATGTTCCCCAAACAGAAGGGATGGAAAAAGCAAACACACAGCAAACGAGCCCTGATTTGATTTAATTTAAAGTTAATTAAAATCAGATTACAGGGATGACGATGTTTGTTTATTTCCGCCGACTTATTAAATAGTAACCTGGAGTTCGATGCTCTTTGTAGCTTCCCTTCCGGAAACCCAGACTGTACTTTCTTGCCATGCAAAGAGGCCAGTGATATTAACCATAATCTCTGCTTCCCATCTCGGTTAAGGTGGGTGTTTTTCATGGCTTAATTATATCTCAGAAGCTGCTGTTTTTTTGTGTTTTTTTTTTTTTCCTCTTCTACCGTAAGTCCATTTCAGCTGTTGGCATAAAGATTCAGGATCAGAATAGAGAATAGAGCTGGAAGGGACCTTGGAGGTCTTCTAGTCCAACCCCCTGCTCGAGCAGGAGGCCACATATACTATTTTTATTTATTTATTTATTTATTTTGATTTATATGTCGCCCTTCTCCGGAGACTCAGGGCGGCTTACAGTGCGTTAAGCAATAGCCTTCATCCTTTTGTATATTTTATACAAAGTCAGCTTATTGCCCCCACAAACTGGGTCCTCATTTTACCCACCTTAGAAAGGATGGAAGGCTGAGTCGACCTTGAGCCTGGGGAGAATTGAACTCGCAGTAATTGCAGGCAGCTGGAAGCTAAATACTACCTTTTAACAGTAGCATTAGCCTGCTGCGCCACTCAGGCTCCGTTTGAGACAAATGGTTGTTTGTGTCTCTTCTTCAAAACTTCCAGTGATGGAGCACCCACAACTTCTGAAGGCAACTTCCATCCCTCTGATTAATTTCCAGAATGACAGAATTGGGAGGGACCTTGGAGGTCTTCTAGCCCAACCTTCTGCTCGAGGAGAAGATCCCATTTCAGACAAGTGGTTGTGTCTCTTCTTAAAGCCCTCCAATGATGGAGCACCCACAACTTCTGGTGGCAAGCTGTTCCACTGCTTAACTGTCCTTACGGTTAGGAAATTTCTTCTTAATTCCAAATTTCTTCTCTCCTTGGTTAGTTTCCATCCATTGCTTCTTCTCTGCTTTCTGGTTTTTTGGAGAATAGCTTGACTCCCTCTTCTTTGGGGCAGCCCCTCAAATACTGCAAAACTGCTATCATGTCTCCCCCAGTCCTTCTTTTCTCTAGACTGGCCAAACCCAAATCCTGCAACCATTCTTCGTAGATTTTAGTCTCCAGGCCTTTAATCATCTTAGTTGCTCTTCCCTGCATTTTTTTTCAAAGTCTCAGCCTCTTTTTTGTAATGTGACCAAAACTATGTGCAGTAACAGCTCATACAGGCGCTCCTCGACTTACAACGGTTCATTTAGTGACCATTCAAAGTTACAGCAGCACTGACAAGAGTGACTTACGACCATTTGTTCACACTTACGACCTTTGCAGCACCCCTCTGGTCATGCGGCTGCATTCTGTTGCAGGTAAGTAGTAGCATAAACCATTAGACAAAAGCGTTAAGTGAGTCTCGCCCCATTTTTTCCGACCTTTCTTGCCCCTGTCGTTAAGTCAGTCACCGCAGTTGATAAGTTAGCACCCCGGTTGTTAAGCGGATCTGGCTTCCCCCTTGACTTTGCTTGCCGGAAGGTCGCAAAAGCGGATCACCTGACCCCTCCTGGGGACATTAGAACCGTCGTAAGTACGAGTCAGTTGCCAAGCGTCTGAATTTTGATCACGTGACTGCTGCAAAGGGAGCTGTGAAAAACGGCCCTGAGTCACATTTTTCAGTGCTGTTGTAACTTCGAACGGTCACTAAGCAAACCGTCATAAGTCGAGGACTTCCTGCATTGAATTCGCCCAGTGCGCGATACTCTTTTCAGATAGTCAGGAATCAGTAAAATAATAGAATAAAATATAAAAATAATATAAAATAATAATATAAATAAATTTATATAAATTCTTTTATATCCCCTGTTTCCCCGAAAATAAGACCTCCCCTGATAATAAGCCCAATTGGGCTTTTGAGCGCATGCGATAAAATAAGCCTCCCCCCCAAAATAATAAGCCCTCCCTGAAAATATTTAAACTTAGAACTCGAAATCAGGTAAGACGGAAAGAGGAGTCCCGTCTTGCTCCATGCGCCCCCAAATAATAAGACCTCCCCGAAAATAAGGCCATGCGCTTATTTCGGGGTTCAAAAAAATATAAGGTCTTATTTTCAGGGAAACACAGTAAATAATATATAAATAATATATAAATTATATATAATTATATATATATTATAAATATGAAATAAATATAAAATATGAAATAATACAAAATAATATAAAATGTAAAATAAAATAAAATGTAAAATAAAGATAAAATATGAAATAATATAAAATTTAAAATGCAAAATGAATATAAAATATGAAATAATATAAAAT